TTCCAGCGGTGTCCGAGTGAAGAAGGTGAAGAATCTTTGCAGAATGGTTGCGCTATATGTTTTTGTGAACTGGCGTAGCCGGACAGCAACTGCAAGATCTGGTGGCTGGACTGCACGCCGGCTGGATGCAGTGCCCCAGGAGAACTTCTCGACGAGGCCGCCTCCAAGGACATAAGTGACTGTATGAACGATGGCAAAGACCCAGAATACGACTATGGGCACGTTGGGGTGGCCTGACGGGAGAGACGCGACTACGCTAGCAGCTTGGCCATGACTTTCCCATCTCGCGGTCAACTTGAGAAGGTACATGTAGTTCATGGGGGGGAACAAGAGAGACAAGAAGATGATCCAGCCGGATGCAATGTCTCCAGAGACAAGGGCAGCAACAGCCAGAATCAGGCTCACAATGACTGCTGTAAAGCCACTCATTTGTGACTTTTGAAAGCAGCAGCCAAAGAAGAGACCGTTTGCAGTGAGAGAGATTCCAGACAGCAGATGGGACAAGATCGGGATGATGATGGACGTGTTCGTGAAAGACATCGCTCCGATGATGGCACCTATGGCGATCCAGCCTGGCGCGTACACAAATACAAAGGCGACAAGGTGGGACAATAAGCGTGCAGCCTGGGCCTCCCAGCGGCGAGTGTTGGGCATCATTGTGTCAAGGAGCTGTGCCATGCCAATCTCTCTCTCCGTCGCGACACGTCCGGCTAGCTGATATAGAACCCCAACCATGGCAATAAAGTAGGCAATGGACAGTATCCTGTCGATTCTGTCCATGAACCCTTCATGTATTAGCCGTCTCTGGTCCTCATTAGTCATTGAGGTAAATGGAATCTCAGATACAACTTGAGACGTTGACTGCACATCACCAGCAATGGCCAGATCGATGGCGCGCTGCAATGGCAACGTGTAAATCTGGGCATTATTGTCCTCTGACTGGGCATTCGGGCCACCTTTGAGCGAGCCGTCGGCGCGAAGGGTATAGTTCCATCTGCCACTCTCGCCCTCGGATGGAGACGAGTGAAATGTGGCTGCCGCGATACATTTTGATGACCCGCTACTTGCGCTCTGGCATTGGGCCAGCAGTTCTGATTCGCTTTTCAACACGTTGATCTCGATTTGCGTGCTATTGATGGAGGCCATGAGACTTGAAATAACTTGTTCGATCTCTCCAGCGCGGAAACCATTGTCTACGAAGACGAGTTGTTCTCGACCACCGGAAGCATTGCTCAGGGCGTCCGGAAGAGATCTGACCTTGTGCGGTTGCCCAATGCCTTGCTCTATTGGAGGAGAGAAGAGGTTTTTAGTGTAGCATCTGACGTGTTATCAGCATGACAAACTTTCGATGCTAAGGATTATCCAGCTCACAGAAAAACAGCAAACAAAATGGGAAATATGAACGCCCGGATTGGCGTAGAGATCCAGGGCCCAAATAGAATGATTTTCAAATCCTTTATGGTTAGGGCCCATAATTGGCGGAAGAAAAGAGACATCGGAAGAATAGAAAGGATAAACAAGAGGTTTTCTGTCGAGATAAACAAGAGGCTTTTTGTAGGAATAGAGTGTGAAAGGAATCGAGGAGCTCGTTCTTTGCTGTATGTTTTATTGATGAATGGCTGTTTGGCAAACAAGCCGAGGCCGAGACTATTTTATATGTATGGAACATCCTATCACTCTCATTCATCTGTCCTAGGAAGCCCATACCAACAAAGTAATTACTATCATCACAGCCACGATATTAATTTGAATTTGAGGCTTGAACTTTCGAGTTGTCGTTGAGCAAACGGGATTCCGTTCGTGCAGCTGCTTCGCCAGGCCGGAATCCCGCTTGACCACTGATCATTTCCCTTTTGAGCCGTCATCAACCTTGCCTATGCTGCTCATCCCATAGGGATCGAATCGGTGGCAACCCAAACAGGCACGCCAAGTTGAAGTTGAGAATAAGCTTAACCTGCCTCGTGGTGCCTCTGCCAGTCAATGCCGAAGGCACCTTGCATTAGGTACCTTAAGTCAGTACCTTTGATGAAACGCAATCGGCACAGCCCCCTTTGACTAGAAGCCCCACCCACTTCCAGGGACACAACTGACTTTATGAGGGTCGACGTCAGCAATGCACCTGAGACTGAACCAGAGACAACGCTCTTGAGAGAAGGATAACTCGGAATGCCTAAGACACTGGATTTGAAATCGTGCAGCGTATGCGCAAAAGCCAAAGCGCGATGTGATCTTGTGCCTGGTCAAGCCAAGTGTGCGCGGTGAGTGACGAGCCGAGTCGTTGCCCCTTGCACTCAATTTGAGGAACGGAATCCCGTTCGCTTCCCTGCCCATCTACCTCGTTGCCTCCATTTCTACCAGATGCCATTAGAGAAGCCTTACTGACACTAAATTCAGCTGTTCACGACTAAACAAGGACTGCGCATTGCAGCCGCGTGGCAGCCACAGCCGCAGGGTGGTGGCCAAGCGATCCCACGACGGACAGTACGTGGAGCTCGGTTCTTCGACCCTCCGCTACAAGAGGTCTGTCAATTTGTGCTGATCGTACCGGTATCTAGGCATGTTCTTCCTCGCCAGCCAAAATCTGGCACTGCTGCGCGGCCGCTTACGCCAGTCTCGGCACATTTGGTAGACCCTGGTTGCTCAAATGCCTCTACTTCTCAAGATCCTTCTCCTAACTCAGCTATTGACCACTCGGTCCCGCCGGGAGCATCCATCTTCACCGACCCAGAACGCCGTCCATCTGAGATGCTCAACCTGTATTGTAATGACATGATGCCGCTTTTCCCCTTCGTTATTCTTTCTCCTCACACGACTCCGGCTGAGTTGTTCCGCGAGAAACCCGTCCTTTTCAGGATCATCATTGCGGTGACGTGTCAGCACGATGTGGAACTACAATCAAGGCTCTGTAGTTTGTGCCGAACAGAGATCGCTCATCGAATTTGGGATCAGAACGAAGTCTCGTTAGACCTTCTCCAAGGCATCTTGGTTTTTATAGCTTGGTGAGCACATTTTTTTCATCACGTCAGGTTTATTGGAGATGCTTACGGACTTTGAAAGGCGCCACGTCCACATACACCTCGGCTCGACGCTTTCCAGCCTCATTCATAGTGCTATAGCCCTCGCGGTAGATCTCGACATCTATCATGAGCCTCGCCAGGCTGCAAAGCCCAGGCTAGGTGCCCTAGTTGGCTCCGAATCTATTGGCAATGGAGAGTTGAGAACTTTCGAACAGCGGCGGGCTCAACTTGGCCTTTTCTGGTTGTCTTCAGTGTACGTCAAGAAACGCTGTTTGAGGTTTAAGACTGACTAATTGTTGTTTTACGGCGCAGACTTTCGTCCTGTCTAGGAGATGTTGCTGGTGTAAAATCGAGCTCATCAGTAGCCAACAGCTGCCGTATCTTGGAGCAGGCTAAAGAGTGTCCATCAGATTTGTATTTGGTGAGATTAGTGCAGTTGCAGATAACAGCCGAGACAGTTATCGCGGCCATCGGCGAGGAGGAAGGAAGTAATAACTTGAAGTTTTCAGCACATGCAATGTTTGATCTGCTGGAAAGGGAGGTTAAGAAAGCTGATCCTTCACGTTTGCCGCCCATTGACAGGTCCTCGTCTAGTAAGTCTCAATACCAACTGCCGAGTGCCCAATGCACTACTTCAAATAGTGTCAATGTTAAACCTTTGGACCTTTTAGTACTCCTCTCGTTATCCTATGACATCGTACGTCTACTGCTCTATCGAAGCTACTTGGATGAGGTGTCCCACAATATGAACCATGATCAACGTGCCCACGGCATTAGCGCCGCGGCCCGGTACACTTCACTCGTTTTTTCAACTGTCGACGCCGCCAAAGCGGTAATCATGGATTTTCTATCCCTTGATTCTTATACTCTATTATCTTTACCATACCCTCATTGGACTCAGATGGGGCACGCCATTCGTACTTTAGCTCGTATCCTCACCATGAAGTCCGAGGCGTCAGAGTCTCTCCCAGCAGTAGACCTTCTCAAGCTTCTTGAACAAGTGCCGACAAAGGTAGAAGAATCGTTTAGCCGAGGCATGCAATGTCCCATGCCCAGGCGCTTGCCCGTCATCTTCCAGGGGTTCCGAAGGACCGTGTCAGACTTCACCCGAAGCATAGGCGTTACCCCTCTAACGCATATGCCCCCAGACTTCGTACCGGAGCAGACCAGCCAGTCCGATTCTAACCAACTCGACGGTATGAGCATGGGAATGTACGAGGAAGATGAGGACTTTATGATGGACCTGTTTCCGGATGGTGGATTTCAACTCAACTTTGATCCTATTGAAATACTCAGCACACACGGCTCATTGGCGTAGTATTGATGCTATCGGAGTCAATGAAACACATAAATAATCAAACATAATGGACTATTGATCACGGTTATTCCTAACTAAATTGAATCTTCTCCACTAAAAGAGTATGCAACCTTGAGATGTTTCGCATCTCCCAAAGCGTTAGAAGCAAGTGTCTTGGATAATAGGGCTAATTTCACCTTGTTTGAGAACCGGTCTTCTTATCCAAGCGCTTTCTGTGATGGCATCCCAAATCAAACCGCACCAGTAGCATTGGTCACCCCACCAGGATCGCCAAGACTCGACAGTTCCCTACCCGCCGGTTAAACCGTAGGCATTGTTTTGTAATAGTGTAAATTTGCCGCACCAATAATGAGTATCCGGCCTTCTTGTCGGCAATTATTCTTTGGCGCTAAACAAAAACAAGAAGGTGGTTATGGAAGACATCTCAGTCTATGTGGATTCGCGTGCTCTGTTCTTGCCAAACATGAACTGTGGTAATCTGGAGTAAGGTATGCTTAGCCTGCTTCCCCAGAATTTTGTAATATCCTTGCCATGGAGAATAATGGCTAGACTTAAAAGGGTCGGCATGCCCACGACTTGCCTACAAACTTCGAAGAGAATCCGCAGAGAGATATAAACAAATCCCCATATCTTCTTATTCTGTACTTTCTCCAAACTCTTACATTATGAGCTCCCAGCCAAGACTCATGTTCATATTCCTATTCTTAGCAAGCCTACTTGTTGGGCTTGGGGCTGCTGATAACCCAGTTGTGCAGACGATATACACAGCTGATCCCGCCCCAATCGTGCACGATGGACGTGTGTGGCTCTTTACCGGCCATGACGAAGATGGATCTACAAACTTTGACATGAGGGACTGGCATCTTTTCTCCACCAACGACATGGCTAATTGGCAACACCACGGTGTAGTCATGTCTTTGGCGACGTTTAGCTGGGCTAAAGAAAGAGCTTGGGCTGGCCAAGTTATTGCCCGAAATGGCCGCTTCTATTACTACGTCCCTGTATCAAAGGCTGATGGTGGTGCTATGGCAATTGGTGTGGCCGTAGCTGATGCTATTACGGGCCCATACGTCGATGCGCTTGGCCATCCCCTGGTTGACAACACCGAGATTGATCCCACTATCTTCATCGACGATGACGGCCAAGCCTACTTATACTGGGGCAATCCTAACTTGCTATATGTTCTTCTGAATGAAGACATGATTTCATACTCCGGTGGCATCCAACAAGTTGAGCTCACAGCTGAGAGCTTTGGCGCCCGTTCCGGCCATCCCACAAGAACAACAATGTATGAGGAGGGACCTTGGCTTCATAAAAGAGGAGACCTCTACTATATGTCCTTTGCAGCTGATTGCTGCCAAGAAAATCTTCAGTACTCAACTGGGCCAAGTGCAACGGGCCCGTGGACTTACCGCGGAATTATCATGGACCGTGAAGGTTCTGCCTTTACCAACCACGGTGGAATCATCCAATTTCAAGGCCAAGACTATCTATTCTATCACAACGGTGCTCTACCCGGAGGCGGCGGATTTACTCGATCAGTGTGTGTAGAGGCTTTGTTCTACAACGAAGATGGCACTATCCAGCAGGTGCAGATGAGCCGCAGCGGTCCGGCACAAATCAAAAGTCTTGACCCGTATATCCAGCACGAGGCGGAAACAATTTCCTGGAGCCAAGGTATTGAGACCGAGATATCTGGAGAGGGTACACTGAACATCTGGTCCATCAACAACGGTGACTACATCAAAGTGCAAGGTGTAGAGTTTGGGGCTGGTGCGGCAAGCTTCTCTGCTCGCGTCGCCTCCGCGCTCAACGGAGGATCCATTGAGCTGAGGCTTGACTCTCTTACTGGGCAATTGGTAGGCACATGCACTATTCCGGGGACAGGTGGTTGGCAGACTTATGTGACAGTCTCCTGCGACATTACCAATGCGAATGGGCTTCATGATTTATACTTTGTTTTCAAGGGTGAAGGCGGCTTGGATTTATTCAATTTTAACTGGTGGCAGTTTAGAGCGGCTTAGCTACATGCTATAGACTTGAGATGTCCTTCTGAAAATGTGCTACTGCATTACAGTTCCTCTGTCATATGTTGTGGCACATTAGCAAAGGCATTGAGTAATGCATCGGAAACCGTTTAAATACCTCGGGTTGTGCATTCTCAGCGAACGACAATATGGCTGTTCATGATTTCTGTTCCGTCACAGTGGCATTATAGTTGCTGGCAATATCTTTAATCTCTTGGATAAGACATTCTTTGGCCAGCAATTCGCTTGCTCGAGACATAGGATCTCTGCATCTTCTCCTCAACTCTGCCTCGAACCTCTCTGCCTTTACTGCAGCCTTATCCGCATCCTCTCTGTTGATTTGAGTGATATATGCTTGATAATTGGCATGTTTCTCACTGGACCTAGTTACTTGCAAAGATATATAGGCAATGATTACGCCGCCTGCTGAAATAATAAGTGAGGTGATCGTAGCTGCCGTCGACATGTCCATTGATTGCGTTTTAGCTATCTTTTTGTTTTGCTAATGATCGATGCTAATGACAGCTAAGGTGTTAGAAAATAGTGTAAGTTGAGTGTAAGTGGTAAGTAATAGAGTAATAGCTGAGAATGTAGGAACTTATACCTTGGGAAGTTCTCTGACTTACGACTGCTTATTCAAAGGTTTTTACATCGAGATGACGCCTGAAGCTGCACTTTGACCATCGCTATCTTGTTTCATTGGTGCCCGCTTCAGCCATGTCAGCTTACGCATCAAATTAGATGCCCTATCCTGCACTTTAACGATCGTTATCTTCTTTTATTGGTGACCGCTACAGTCAGCTTAGGCATTCATATAGATATTGGATCCGTCCTAAAGCAAGGTGTCACAGCGATATTACCGCACCACGGCGCCTGAAAACTGCTATGTATCTTATTACTATAGACCCTACTGAAGCCACCTCCTGGGTTTGAGTAAGGGAGGCAGATACATCGCTCTAGAAGGCAGGCTAGTAGCTTTATAATCCAGCTTTCCGGTATAACTGTCTAAGTCCTTACAAACAGAGGTAGAGCTGAGCTCATTTAGATGGTATTGATTTATATCGAAATCCATGAGAAAGTTTGCTACGGGTTAGGTGTGGCGTACGGATGTATTGTATATATAAGCTACACAACGAACAACGAAAATGGACAAAACAATCGATGGAATTTGCTTGGCATGGGCTAGCTAGTGTAGAAGCCCATACTACGACTGTTAAATCGCTCTTCCTAAAATAATGTCTTTTGCGTGATATGATGTAAACATAATCGAAAAGTGCACAGTCCCAAGATTACGTCTGGACCGTATCGGCTGCCTTTCTGAGATAGGCAGATTTACCATGACCCATCCACCTTTTCCTATCGGACGATCTAGAACATTATATCGCACATATTCTCTGAGGATGATCTAGAATGGGTACCTGGCGAGCAGGAGGTCATACTCAGCCTGCGTGACTGAAAAGACCGACCCATGCTTGATCGATGGGGGAATCCCATTAGAACTTGCCGGCTCCCAAGCGTTGTTCAGAATATCAGTGGTTTCGTAGGCGATATACTGGATGTAATCGTCCACCCACAGATAGTACTTGTCTGCAACCACGTTGTCCTTGTAGGCCAAGGCACCCTCGCGTGGACTTTCCTCGCGCGCATTGCCGGGAATGCGGTCCCATGTCCCAAAAATGCCAGTGGTGGTCTTTTCTGCGAATATTTGACTGGTCGTGACATTCTTCAAGAACCGAACGTAGTTTCCAGGAGAGTCAAGGTATTGGAACTCTTGGTCTATGACAGAGGTGTCGGCAAAAGAGATGTAGTCCTTAGGGGTCGAAAACGTGGCAAAGTCTGTGGTAAAGCTCGTGCGAATCCGATCGTAGGTTGCCCATCCGGAGTGGGCGGGGTTATCGTAGAACCTTGAAGACCAAAAGACATCCCAACCTCCCTTCGTCTCGTCATAAACTGCCGAAGGAGCCCAGACCATTCCTGCGTCAGGTATCTCGACAGTCGGAAGATACGGACCACTCCAGTCCGCCAGGTTAGATGATGTCCAGACTACTATTCCCAGACTTCCATTCCTAGTAGCCGTGTCCCAGCTAAAGCCAGGCACGGTGATATCAAGATCTATAGTGGGTATTGGTATTGCGAATTCAGATACTGTGGGAGGGTCATACCGGTTGCAATCAAATAAAAGACCGATCGATCGGAATTAGTGGTTAGGTATGGGTCCCTGATGCCACCGGTCCCAATATCTGAGTTGAGAATTGAGTTGCCCTGATTCAACTGCTTGAAGTTAATAGGGTCATTTTCAACCGAGAGAAATTGTTCAATATTGTGTGAGTTGTCAAAAAATCCGGTCATGAGGTAACCTGCAAAAGGTTCAGCGCGACGTTCAGGAACGACGTTTGCTGTTGCACAAACAGCCAAAGCGAGAACTAAGGCTGTAAAGGTTGGGAGACGCATTCTGGGGTTCTGTGCGATATGGTTGAATACTATGGTCTGATGAAGGTTGATGGATCTCTATGAAATCTGGTGGTAGTGTTCGGGTTCTGTATTAATACCTTTGGGCTAAGATTGATCTAAGGTATCTTAACACGATTTCATTGGAGCGCAATATCGTTTAAATAGCATAATGATCTACATCTCGGTCAGTTTAAAATGCAACTGGATAATATCAGGTTGAAGTGACGCCAAGAGGTATCGGCAATGCTACCGCACCAATAATTTGGACTGAGCGAAATACTGGGGATGCGGAGATGCGGGGATCCTAGGATGGCCAACGATTTTGCCGGGAACACATTATGGTAAGGCAGCAAGGTAAATACAGTTGGTGGGCAAAAGTTTGCGGCTTGCAAAGGCTTCTGCGTAGCTTGAAAACCCTCACATGTCGCAGAGTACGTCGCCACGCGTGAGTTACTTCATAAAAGGCAACCTTGCAAAGTGAAACGTCAACGTAGCATAGCCAAAGGACGACTAACCCATTTGATGCCAGGGCAGATCTGGCAGAGCTATGTCATTTAGTTGGCTAGGTTTCCATAAAACGAGCTTTGGTAAGTACACAGAATTGGATAGACACATCGCCTGGCTTGGAGTCACTCATTATGAGCTTGAAAGGCCTTAGTACTACAGAAAGAGAGACGATGCGGAGGGTTGTTGTTGTCATTGGCAATTTAAGTACCAGTTAGGAACCAAGCGGCTTGAGCATTGTAGATGGCATAACTAAATCTAGATCCTTTCTCCTGGTAGTCAGAGAGCTAAATAAGAACTGCAACTTCCCCGCGTCTGTTTAGTCTTTTGATATACGGGCGAACAAGAACAAGCTTCACATAGCATAGCGGAAGTTAGGGTTCTGGCCATCTGTAAGGTCATCAACTCCATCGATAACATTATTCAAATTAGCCTGAGGCTTGCCATGCTCTTTATCGCGGCTCCGGTTCTGTATAACGCAAATCGACCTGGTAAACCTTCAAGTCAGTCTTTAAAGTTCAGTTTTAATAGAACAAGAATTCTTGATGAGAAGCACCTATGACGGGAGGGTTCGAGTGGAATTAAAAACAAAGATGGAAGATGCCAGGCCAGACACCTCAACAAAAGGGATACGAGCATCTATGACTACTTACCAATATACTGCACCACAGGCTATTTCAACAGCGAAGCAAGCCATCATGGTATAAATTCCAAGTGGATAATGTGGTGCTTGTTCTGAACGAAAGAATTGAGGCCCTATTATGTTTCCAACAGCTACAGGAAATTAGTAATTCGGACCGAGAGCAGAGAGCAAGGGGTAAACTGACCATAGACCAGCGCGACCGACACGGAGGCGAAGCTTCTCTTTGTGGCACCGCCGTTATTGGATGCCACAAGGCTCATCATCATAATCCATGCTACATTGTAGAAGCCCATTAGATATACACCGACTAGTGATGCTGTACGATACTGGTCGATGTTTAGTGTGTTGATCATAATGGCGCCAGCTAACGCCGGCAGCGTGGATCCAATCCAGAGAGCGCATCGGATATTTGGAATAAAATAAGCAATTACTGCGAAAGCGACTTGACTGACGAAGGCCACTGCTGCCTGTGGTGTTGCCATTAGCGTAGTCTTCATCTGAGTGAAGCCATACCCAGAGATGATCAGGGGATTGAAGTTGGTGATGCCAGAATTAACAATAGCCCAGGCCATTGTCTGCACGCATATTACCCAGTACTTGGGATCTCGCAGGGCTTCGTGAACTTGGGAAAGCTTCCAAGGTGCAATGGACCTCGTGCTAGTGTTATTACCAGCTGTGCGGATGATTACCAATTGTCGATCGCGATCATTGTAAAACCAAGCGGTGCTTGGTGAGTTTGGGAGGGCGAAGAACACAACAACACCAAACGCCAAGGTGACACTGCCATAAATAAGGAAGAGGACCTTCCAAATGGGTAACGAACTTTGGATATGGCCGATGGCATAGCTTAGAATGCCACCAAAAATACCGGCAAAGGTGTTATACCAAATGGCTGTACGGAGAGCATGCTCCTCACGTCGGTACCAGATAGACGTCAGAATCATGGACACGGGTAGCTGGCCAGCCTCAAAAATACCAAGAAAAAAACGAATGATAGCAAGGCCAGCAAAGTTTTGAGCGGCCCCTATGCAAAGCAAAAGAATGCCCCAGACCGTGACAAGGACGGCCATATATGTGCCAGGCGGGACCTTGATGAGCAACCACATGTTGGGGAACTGCATGATGAGGAAGCCAAAGTAAACAATACTACCAAGCCTACACATTATAGTTAGCTTGTGAAAATTCCGATACGACGAAAGGGGTAGACCACTTACCAGGAGTACTCTTGCCCTACTAGGCCGGTGTCTTGGCGTATACCGAACACAGCGGCATATCCCAAAGCATTCTGTTTAGGTGCGGTTAGCTAGATATGCTTCTTTAAAGGGTTTTCCATAAGGCACTGGAAAATTTGCTTACCTTATCTAAGGCTGCGAAGAAGGCAGTTAGGGTGAGAATCGGCAAGACAACTAAGTCGCTTCGTAGGAGTAGCCTCCTGTTATCCGCAGATGTGAGGATGGTTGAGGGATCTGGCTGCTGATCTCCTAGATCATCTCGAGTATTAGAGTGAACTTTCATGATGTCACTGGCGCGGTCCGCGACCTCTTTCCGGTCTTCTTCGTTAGATACTGTTGCCATCGGTGTTTTTCAACTGAGACACGAGACAGAAATGAGTTGATCGTAGTTCACAATGTTAGTATGATGAACTCATTACAAAGCGAAAAGGACCAGCAAGGTGGAAACGAGCAACGTAATATACTCTTGGAAAGGGAGCGATGCTCTTAGCAAGGGATATTGGTATCTGCCTCTAACCCCACATTATTCTTGGATTTGGTACTCAAACTAAGTTTTGTAGGATTTTCGGTTTGTGGGATGGCGGGGAAAGCAGCTGGATGTTGGATACCGCTACTTGTCTCTCGCAACCATCTGCTTACGATAAGCCATGTCTGTCCCGCTCGGAAATAACACATGTTGTGCTATCCAGACCAATCATCTCATTCAGGTTAGCCCTCGCGAATGTGAAGGAAGGCCTCGGCGAGGTGGGGTAGCTGGTCATAAACACGGTTAGCCACTAGCTGAAACTTGGGCAGTTATCTCCGGGCCTAGAATGTCGAAGCCTTAGTCTAGTGTTGCCATGGCTTAATGTTGTCTACCCACGGATACGCTTAGGTTATCCAGGCTATCGCTTGTGCGGCCATAGCTAGAGAGAGACAAGTGTCTGTTTGTGACGGAGTAAAGTTTATCCTCCGTAGAAACCATCCTCCGTAAAAACTTCATATCACGACATGTATGTGCAAGAAGCGTGCAGAGTGGGTTACATAAGGTAAAGAGAATTCAAACCGGGTTATCCTAAACGACGAAAAAGGAAACATTCAAGAGCAACACTGGAACAGGATATCGATGCGCTGGATGGGAGTAATAAAGCTCACGAGCAGGTATCAGCACTTACACTTTGCAAAAGTCTGAGATTCCTATGAATAAAATGCTCCTTTTATTCTAAGAAATTCATAGGTATGACAGCCTTCAAGTTCAAGTCGAGAATTTTGTTTTAGGAGAGAGGATGCTCAAAACGGCGCTCTAGCTAGTGCAACATTACCCACGATGATCCCGTTTCTTCCATATCTGTTTAACGGTTTTCACAGCTTGCCAAGGTGCCCAGAACGAACCTTTGAGGTCAAAACGAGACAGATACTCGAGGGATTTATCCTGTAGCTCTGGTGTTATGGCTTCACAAGCAGCTATAAAGCAACTCCAGCCTATGGTTCAATTGTTAGTTAACTTTCCTTGGCCATTGGTGAAATCATTTTTTTCTCTTCTCTAAAAGGTTAATTGGAAAAAGGAGGGGATAGACTTGTAAAATCGGGCTTACTTAGACTGGTACTAAAGTCTCGCTCCTCCGAGCCACCCCTCATGCAGGGTCCCAAGTATTCTAGGGTCTGAGCAACAGCCGTCTGCAAGATCCCAGGATAGACTTTGTGAATACGTCGGTAGAAGTATATGTATATTGCCTGGTGGAAGGCAAGCGCTACACATTTTATTTCCTCTCGATCCATATCCCCTTCATTGCTGCCTGTTATCGAGTCAGATCCCAATGTTCTAGATGATACTGGTGCGAACGTACGAGATGGTAGAGTCCAGTCCCAAATATTACGCTCCAAGTTGAATGTATGCTGGGCTAAAGCAGCTGCAGTTTTTGGATTGGCAAGGGCTATTCGATCCAGTTGCGGCTTCGCGTTTGCCAAGGAGAGCGTTTGAGACAGCAGTGTAGTCAATGACTCTGGCACAGCGTATAAGAATGGGTACATGGTTTTCTTCCAGTTCCCTTGTGTCTCAAGATGGATATCATTATATCCCTCGTCGTCATCCTTAGGTGAAGATGGGTCCAGGCCGAGATTGAGCCTTTCCTCAGTAAGTTGGAAGTTTCGTAGAAAATGTATGTTCTGCGTGAACGTATGGGGTTGTGAGATGTGGTTCAAGCTTTGAACGCATTCAATAGAACATATACTCTCAACCATGATTCGTAGATGTGTATATGTGTGATGGAGCAAGAGGACCTTTTGGGATTTCTTAGGCTTAGGAATACCACGGATTCGGATGAGCCTCTCTGCATCGATTAAGTAATTTCGAATATTCTGGGCATCTTCCAGCGCCTACCGGCTTATCATTAGCATAGCTTTCAAGGACCAGACAATAGGCCGTGGGCTTAAATCTAAGCTTGGTTTTCTGCAAGACTTACAGAAGCCATAGCCATGGCAAGAATAGTCATCAAAAGGTCCTTGTACTTGGCACGTGGCGGCCCCTGGATCTCATTCTGCAAAGCAAGCTGCAAATGTTTTTTAGCAACCCGCTGAGCCTCCAGGCCGCGCTTTCTCCAGTACTGTGTCACGTCATCGGGTTTCGTCTTGTTAAGATGAAATGCGCTGATGGCAAGCAGGGAGTAGAACATGGCCATTTTGGTTTCAGATACATGATTCCAAATAGCAAGACCCGCGTATGTTTGGGTGGCGCCGGGCAGTAAGATCACGCGCCAAGGAGACTTACGGCTCCTGAAAAAGCTAGCGGATGGAGTGATCAAGTTTGCCTCGTAGTATCGCAAAAGAATCCCGACATCTTCTGGCCAAGGCATATTCGTGTTGAGTGCGGGCGGCGCTGGTAGCTTTGGCATAAAATCTTCTAAAGGCGGCACGCAGTGTACCAGATTTTGGCCAGATGCAACTCCATCCGAGAATTCGAGAAAGGATCCTTCATCAGTTGTTGGAATATTATAGTGGTCTGGTGCAAGCTGAGGTAACACCATGGCAACCATGTCCATAAGGTCAGGCACCTCAGCGCCTCCCTCGAAGTTTAATAAGCCAAATTCCACATCATGGATCCTATTAGGATCACTTAAGATACTTTGGTCGTCTGGTTCATAGGGAGGTTCTGTTGTAGAATTCAAGCTTGGAGTTGAGATTTCTTGGTCGGTCTCAACATTGGATTCTGCAGGGCTCCGCAACGGGGATGGACCAGGAAGTTTGAAAGCGCTGAAGGGGCCAGCTACGATGGAGTCTTCGTCTGACGCACCACGCTCGGTATCCTCATAGGCATCGATTAACATCAGTAGCTGGTCTGCAGTGCGCCCGTCAAAACTGGCATTCGTTTGGTCGGCCATTTGTTCCCGTTCATCGTCTGTACGCTGGTCAACAAGCTACCATGGTGCAAGGAGAGATAGTGGCCTAAGAATAGACCCAATGCAAGCGCAGGCTTTTCAGTTGCGGAAATCTCAACCGTACCTGTGAAGAGGGCATATCGAAATCGATATGCGGATGCCGCTTCGCCTTCGCCTTGAAGAGGGCGGCAGCCATTGGGGCCGTGTAACCAGAGCAAAGGTCCAGCGTAGCTACAACGCAGCGAATTCCGACTGCAGTTGTTACAAAAAGGATGAGTTTTGTCGCAGCCAATGTGCCTAGAACGACATGGGGCGCAGCTGGTAAAGGACCGTGATCTGGGGAGTCGCGTGGACATGGCAAGCTTGCACTTGTAAGTAGAACAGGTTCATTAGTGTGGGAGAATATGCCTATTTCGGGTCTCTTCAATCTGCCCTTTGGAGTGTCAATGGACGCTCTGAGAGAAGGAGATCAAGGAGCTGAGGAGTCCCGAAGGATGCCGCCTAGAGGTGTCCACATCGGCTCGAGTCATGGATACATCATACAGGCACCGGCAGTACTTTCCAGCCATTCACCCAATCACCATTTACTATGTATACTTGCAATTTGAATTGGTTTTAGCGATGTTTGGCTCACCAGGAGATACCCATCCATTTCATACTACTATAGAAGCTCTACGATACTGAATGTTTTACTAAAACGACTTATCGAGACATAATTGTTCACGTAGTATCTAAACAAATGGAAGTAGAAACAAGTATATGTATAAGATCCACAACCGAGGTTTAGCAGTTGGGTAATCTCACCAAGAGGGCATACCCCACCCTTTACGGAGAGACCTGCCCAAGATGCTCGGCAACTTTTTACTTATCAAGATACCCGGCTTCCCGTAGCTAACATAGATTGGCCGCCCAATAGCACATCATGTCTCACAGTCACCCAATCCCACGGACTTGATAGCTTCCTGTGGAGTTTGTTCTGTTCGTCGGCTATACTCCCGCTGCGTGTGAGAAGGAATGTGGAGAAATTACCTCAACCAGATTTTTACCAGCTTCCTGGTTCTTCGAACCATGCCGTAATGGCAGGTCCAAGTGGAAGCTTCTTCTGCCGAAGGCCGAGAGCCCCTCGCATCGTAGATAAATCTCATAGTACCGCTCCTCTGATAAGGATTCTGCCCACAACGAGTTCGTGGTGCCTGAAAGGGAGACAATAAACTAAAATCAACTAGGAGTCGTGTGTCTTGATTTTCTCTTCGCGAAGTATCATCAAGTTACGTGGCATCCACCATGGCCAACCAGCAGAAGCCAAATATTGTTCTGGTTATGTGCGACCAGCTTACGGCTATCGCACTCTCCAGCTACGGTAACAAGGTCACCAAAACACCGAACATAGATGCTCTTGCTGCGCAAGGTACCGTGTTCGAGAATGCCTACTGCAACTACCCTCTGTGCGCACCATCGCGCTTTGCCATGATGAGTGGTCGGCTACCATCTAAAATCGGCGCTTTTGATAATGGTGCTGAGTTTCCAGCAGCTGTACCGACCATTGCACATTACCTCCGCGATGCTGGGTACTATACCTGCATCTCAGGCAAGATGCACTTTGTCGGGCCGGATCAACACCATGGGTACGAAGATCGACTCACAACAGAGATTTACCCATCCGACTTTGGCTGGGTGCCCCCCCAGACCTATGATGACATGGATGCTGCTGGAAAAGGTGGCAACGGCAAAGTGCCGTTCGGAGTGTCGAGCGTAGAGACAATCGCAGACGCCCAGGCTCTTGCCAGATCCCAGCAATTTGATTATGACGAGGAGGTGGCCAGACGGGCCATCCAGCACATCTTCGACTGGAGGCGATATAGCACTGACGGGCGGCCACTATTCATGACCGTGTCTTTCACACAGCCCCATGATCCGTATGTGATCACAAAGGAGTTCTGGAATCTCTACACCAACGAGGAGATTGATGAGCCCCTCACGGCCAAAATTCCCCTCGATCAAATGGACCCTCACAGCCGACAACTTTACTTTCACTATAGCCTGGATAAGTTTGACGTGACAGACGAGATCTATCGTCGGGCGCGCCGAGGCTACTATGGAATGATCAGTTATGTTGACAGCAAGCTGGGAGAAATCCGGCAGGCTCTTGAAGAAGCGGGCATTGCCCACAACACCGTGATTCTGTTCACGTCTGACCATGGCGACATGATTGGCGAGCGTGGACTTTGGTTTAAGAAGAACGTCTTTGAGCCTTCGGTCCGAGTGCCTCTCATCATGTACCGACCCCAAGCCAAGTCCGATCTCTCTCGGGTATCTGCCCCTGTCTCTCTCGTCGATGTTTTGCCGACATTGGTGGAACTCGCCACCGGCTCTACTGATGCCATCTTCACCGAGTGCGAAGGTCGTAGCTTGATGCCCCTGCTTATCAAGGACGAGCCTGAGCGTGAGGTCATGGTAGAGCATCTTGACGGCGCTACACCCGCGCCAAGAGTCATGATCCGCCAAGGCATGCTGAAGATTGTAGTTTCGGAGGCATTCCCCACGCAGCTCTACGATCTCACAATTGATCCAACCGAGACCAACGATTTGGCCGGTGATCCTAGCCGGAGGGCGGAAGTGGAGAGGCTCGAGGCAGTTGTAAGGCAGCGCTGGGACCTCAAGCGCCTGCGTCGCGACGTCATTAACAGCCAGCGTAGGCATCAGTTCATCTACAGAGCAATGCAGCAGGGCAAGCCTCGGAGCTGGGAGCACTACCCGGACGCGATCCGTGAGCATACTAAATTTGTCAGGACAGGGGAGCGATTCCCGGAAGTGGAACGTCGCTCCTATCTGAAATATGCGGAAGGCGATTATTAGAATTGCCTCATTGGTAGGCAGCGAACTTATAGGAGGATAATTAAATGACTTGTACTTGATACAGGTGAAACAACGGGGTGGGACATAGCAACCATGAGCTAAGACTACCGCTATTTCTTTGGTCCTTCGATGTAAATAAGTTGGATGGACGAATACTAAACCTTTTAGTTATTATCCCGGTCTAGATTTAGAATGCTTTGATTTAATAGCTTTATCCATTTGATATAACTAAGTATTAGCAGAGTATAAGTTAAGTCCTCGCTGTGCCATGTGCTCTACGTCAGTGACTCTGTTTAGGTCGGCATTGGTGGTTTTACATGATAATTTTAGTCCAAAGCCTTTGAATAGTAATTACGTGGCTGCTATGTGATCCTTGTATGTTTATTGTATAGTTGATACGTAGTTATGCTTTTAGAATTTATATTAAAGAGTACCAAAATAATTTTCAAACCAGGCAACTGCTTGTAGAAATGCCTGGTCCTTGGCAAACCGTTCTACTTTAAGTGAGGGATCTCCTCTCACCGCAAAGCCATGTTCCACCCCAGAGAAAAGATTAATTTGGTAGCGGAGATCTGTCTTGGCTAGAATTCTTTCCGACTCATGGCGCTTTTCTGTCGTGAAGATGTCATCATTCTCTGCTGCAGCAATTGAGAGCGGTCCAGAGATGGATGCAAGCTCCTCGGCATCAACAAAAGATGGGTGAGCAATGAAGCCACATTCGATGCCACTTTTATAATGGCGGATAACGTACTGTGATATTGTTAAAGCTGACTAGTACAGGGAAGATGATGTTGGGAGGGAGAAGCTGCTGAACTGGCCTTACCTTGGCTCCTAGGCAATACCCTACAGCACAAATGTGAGCTAAGCCAAGAGACTTCAGGTGAACCAAGCCTTTCAAGATGATGGGATCAATGGCTTCCGGTGTGTGGGGGTTGTTTCCGTTCGACCCATGGGATAACCAGCCCATGATGTCGAAATCCTCTGGCATTTCCAAAGGCGCCGGATCTCCATTGAAGATGTCCAAAACGAGACAAGTGTAGCCTTGCGCAGCAAAGAGATCTGCCATGAGCTTCGAGTTCTGCCAAATACCCAGAATATCAGGTACATAAAGAATGCCTATATTCTGCGACTCGATGCTCTTTGGAGGCACTGCCAGATAGGCCTCGAGGTGGCCGTCAATCACGATGGAGCTTCCATTTGGAGTTCCTCTATTGGAATTAGAATAAACCACCAACGTTGAGAAAACTCAAACATGTAAGACTTACTCGTACAGGGCTCCCATGGAGCAACACCGACCGGGAGCGAGAGAAGCCATAGCTTGCCTGTGAAATAAAGTTTGGGGGCCTAGCTTATGTTGGAATGGAGGAGAGTTGGCCTGAACTCCGAAAACATGGCATTATAATCATGACCTACTCTAGGAGGGAATCGGTGTGCGGCCCGATGTATCTCGAGAAAGGCCGGCAAACTCATTAGATTGGCGGCTAACGGATAAGGGATCTGGCATCGGCAGCGGATGAGTTCCGGCCGGCAAATGGCCGTGCGATAAAGGACGAAAATACGCGGGGTCTTGCTTTGAGTGGAGGCAACGGCTGACGAACGACGACGTAATGGTCTTACCTTCAAAAAAGCGAACACCGGCGATTGCCAGCTCCTCCTCTCATCATTGACGCCTTGAATCAACCCCGTTGACCTTCCATACTAGATCTCATTACACCAAGCCATGTTCGCAGACATTTCCAAACCACCCGCACCACTCCCAGCCTCACACCTCACGACGCTTAGAACTGGGGTGTCGCTGCTTCTTCCTCTCTCACGACGTGGCCAAGGGCCTGGATTGATCATTTTGAATTCAAAATGTGAAGATCCTGCCTCATTTTCAGGTGGAACACCTTCATGCCTGCTCAAATGGGCTGAGGAAGGATATGCAGTTGTCCAATTAGATTCAACTGCTTTTCGAGATAGAGCTAGCGAGGACGTCCTGCGAGAAGCTGCGCAAGCGCTAGAGCAGTGTACAAAATGCGAGCCCAAGGGCAAACTGGGTTTAGTTTGTAAGTGCTGCTGCCCTTGTGGTGAATTTCGGCTCTGACTGGTTACAGCCTACGATCCTAGTCTCTGGGCTATCGCGGCTCCGGGGTTGGCCAAGACTCCTGATGTCATTGCCAGCGTGGTCTACACCGATATCTCAATGCTTGACGAGCTTCCGGCCGTTGATATTCCGGTACTGCATCATGTGGTTGGACAGCGTACAACGCCTAAGCAACAGTCAGGCATTACTCAATATTATTACCCCTCAGTGAAGAGCCATGCTTTTGCAACACCTACTCACGAGCACTTCCATTACATCACTGAATCTATCTCGCACACAAGAAACCTTCAATTTCTGAAGCCGCGCATGGATGGGCCATACTTTGACCTAGAAACCATCTGGGAGGAACACACATACTACGAATTTGCCGACCGTTCTGTTGAGCACACAATGAGCACCATGGTACAAGAACCATACGTAAATCACGTTCCTACGGTAAGTCCGTTCTACATGCCTCTGGCCGGCCAGACTGAGCTAACCGAGCATTTCGCTTTTAGCTTACGGGTGGCATTGGTCGTGAGAAGCTAACGAGTTTCTATCGCCATAATTTCATCTTCAACAACTCCGCCGATACAGACTTGGAACTCATCAGCCGCACCCTCGGAATCAACACTGTAGTTGATGAATTCATCTTCAAGTTCACCCACGATCGAGAGATTGACTGGCTGTAGGTGCTTCACATACTAAGAGTAAACTTAGAATCATGAGGCTAATTCATCCTTCAAGTATTCCGGGTATCCCACCCACCAACCTCAAAGCAGAGATTCCCTTCACTGCAGTCGTCAATATTCGGGGAGATAGGTTGTATCATGAACATATCTCTTGGGACCAAGGCACGGTATTGAAGCAGCTTGGGTTGATGCCCGAGTATCTGCCATTCCCCTACAAAGTGGACAGCACAAAGGGAGGCTCTTTTGAGTATAGAGTGCCGGTTGCTGGAATCGAGGCGGCAGATAAAATGAGGGATCGAAATAGCGTACCGTCAAACGACATGTTCGAGTTTAGGGGGAGAGAGACCAGATAGGTTGAATTTGTATGATACAGGCCCGTGTAACTATGATCTTGCTTCTACCTAGTGATTATGCCTGGCCCATCAGGAGTGGTTCAAGTAGGATAGTCAAATCCATTTGGAGACCTTGGAGCATGGACATTACGGAAGCGATGAGTCTCCGAGTCCGTTTCTCATATCTTACCCTCGCGTATGAAAACTTAGCTTGTCGATGGTCAAGAGTGGCTCAACCCTCTTATAAGCCTAATTGAGAGAGGTTTCCATAAAGTAAAAATTGGAAAAGAGACCGAAATGCATTTTAGCAAGTGGTAATTCTTTGGCAGAGTCAACGCTCCTCCAAGGAGCCCCCAACAGCTGATAAGTGCGACCATCAGGCGAAGAGAATGTAATAGCATACCCTTACTAGATCAGTCGACTTTAGAGTTGGTGGGACTTGTTTGATAAGACCCTGGTCTTGTTGCCCTGGTTTCGAGTAGATATGCATAGGCCGGAACACCTCCGAAGACGACGGGGGTTCAGTTAGGAGACCCTTGGGGATAACATCAAGCTGAACTTGGGGCCCCAGGCTTGGGACCCGGGAGGCTACAATAAGCGTTCTGAGGATTTGCTACATAGCGAAGCCACTCCTCGACCTCACATGTAGTCGCCAGAAGACTCCATCCAATTGGTTTCGTCACTCAGAAAAATCCAGTAATGAAATCCGATATTGAGTCCGCTGCCCATCATGGGATCGCTGCACTTGGTCCCGAAAAGTTTGATGACCCTGAGAAGCCGAGGAATGATAGCATCCGTGGCTTGGAGACTTCAGTTGAGACATCACTGCACAAGGAGCTCAAAGCACGACACATTTCCATGATTGCCATTGGCGGAGCTCTTGGGACTGGTCTTCTTATTGGCACCGGCCAGGCTCTGGCAGAGTCTGGCCCAGGGTCTCTCCTCATCGCGTTCTTGTTCATGGGCGTTATCATTTTCATGATTATGGCTGCTATCGGCGAAATTGCAGCGTGGCTTCCACTGAGCGCTGGCTTTGCAGGCTATGCCACTCGTTACTGTCATCCTGCCCTCGGGTTTGCCCTTGGATGGACGTACTGGTTCAATTACGCGCTTGCTGCCCCAAACCAGCTTACAGCCGTCGCTCTCGTCATACAATTCTGGGTACCTCGAGAGACGGTCAACCCGGGCGTGTTCATTGCCATCTTCATCGTTCTAATCTTCTCTATCAACTATTTTGGTGGTATCAAATTCTTTGGGGAATTTGAATTCTGGCTGTCGTCTTTTAAAGTTATCGTCATCGTTGGTATCATCCTGCTGTCGTTGGTTATTACATGCGGCGGAGGTCCCTCTGGAGAAGCTACGGGGTTCCGTTACTGGAAAGACCCTGGAGCCTTTGCAGAAATTTATACGACAGGCCCTCTGGGGAAATTTCTAGGGTTTTGGTCTGTCATGGTTAATGCGACTTTCGCCTATCTCGGAACTGAGCTCGTTGGAACAACAGCTGCCGAGGCGAAAAACCCACGACGTTCAATTCCAAAAGCCATTCGACTTACATTTTACCGGATTCTTTTCTTCTACTGCCTCAGCATCTTCCTGGCTGGACTCATCGTCCCCTATAACTCAGAAGCTCTACTCTTTGCAGCCAACCAGCCAACCCCAGGAGCAAATGCTAGCCCGTTCGTTGTGGCCGCCAAGGTTGCTGGGATCAAAGTTTTGCCACACGTTATTAACGCTTGCATCTGCATGTTTGTCTTTTCGGCTTCTAATTCCGACCTGTACATTGGAAGTCGAACACTCTACGGCTTGGCAAGTGATCGAGCAGCGCCAGCCATTTTCAAGCGGACTGATCGTCGTGGTGTACCATGGGTCGCTTTGCTTGCCTGTACCTCTTTCGCCCTACTCGCATTCATGAACGCGTCAGATGACTCAAGGAGCGTATTCAAGCACTTGATCAATGTCTGTACAGTGCTTGGATTGCTGACGTGGATCTCCATCTTGATCACTCACATCCGGTTCGTCCGTGGTCGCAGGGCAAAGGGCATTCCTGACTCCGCGATGCCCTACACAGCACCTCAAGGTATCTGGGGGAGCTATGCGGCTCTTGTAATTTGCATCATTGTTGCGCTAACAAAGAGCTACGGTGTTTTCATCCTTCAGGGCAAGCCATTTGATTACGCCTCTTTCATTACTGGTTATATCGGCATTCCGGTATATCTCGTTCTTCTCTTTGGTCATATGCTTACTCAGAAGAGCAAGCTGGTCAAGATTGAAGACATGGATTTCTTTACTGGGAAGGATATTGTAGACCGATACGAAGCCGAGTTCCTGGAGGCAGAGGCGGCCAGAGAGGGACGTAACTCGAAATGGGTGAAGGTGTATGACCGGACTTTGCCGTGGCTATTTTAGAGTTGATTAGTTATAACTCATGGGATTGGGCGCCTGAATTCCACTGAAGGTTATCTTTTGTTCTTATGACTACCAAACAACGTTCCCAGGAGCTTGGGCCAAAACCGTAGATATGCAAAATACATGCCACCCCACCTGTAACCCCGTTGTACAGTGGGGTTGTAATCTGCCTCTTGACTAGTTGTCTGAACTCACCTGCAGCCTTCGCATTGTCAAGAAGTCTCCTCGATCGAAGGCGTCGGGTACAGTCCCAGGAAGAGGGCGGGGAGTCCGTGACAACTTTGAAACCAAGACGCATCCCTTAGCCGGCTACTTGGGTCTTTCCGCGTTTTACAATAGTCTGTCTGGGGTAGGCGGCTGGGTTCGTGCCCCGCATATTGGATCGGAGTCTAGTTCTGATTCATGGTGTCTTATCTGTGGATGCCGCTCTGCACTGTTATCTAACATTGCCAACTTCGGAGGAGTTCCGGCCGGCTTCTAGGCCTCTGGGCAAGGAGCCAAGATAACCGCCAATTGACACAACTCAGCTGATGCTGTTGAGCATTTGTCAAGGGGCCGACGCGTCTTATATTTCAGATGTTGGCATCATCCCTTGCTTGATCAGAATCTCTCCACCATCAAAGCCATCGCGACGAATAATTCCGAGCCTCAACAATGACAGACAAACAACCAACCAAAGTCGGCGAAGACGACAAGAACTTCGACATCGAGATGACGCACAAGCCCTCCGTCGACGACGTACAAGAGGGGACGGTCGATGTATCCGCAGAGTATTCGGCCAAGTACTATCGAAGGCTGCTCTGGAAGATCGATCTCTGGCTTCTCCCACTCATGTGGATTTGCTATGGCACGCAGCAGACCGACAAGACCTCCCTTAGCGTGCAGGCCGTGTTCGGTATTCAAGAAGATACAGGGCTCGTGGGCGAGCAGTTTAACTGGCTCAGCACGATCTTCTACCTTTCCTACATGGTCTGCGAGGCACCTGGCAACTGGCTTATGCAGAAATGCCACACTGGCAAGTTTCTGTCCATTGTCATGGTGCTATGGGGCGTCATTGTTCTGTGCATTGCATTCGCAAAGAACTTTACGCATCTGATGATTCTTCGGACGATTCAGGGTGCCTTAGAGTGTACGATTTCACCAACCTTCATGCTGATCACCGGAGCATGGTATACATCCCAGGAACACACACTTCGATCGCTGATTTGGGGAACATCAAACGCTGGAATGAATATCCTTGCGGGCTTAGCCATGTATGGTATTGGCCTCCATGCCCAAAACAACCCTGGAGGTGTAGCTGCTGTAAGATTTCCTTGATACCTCCCAACCTAGCGTGGAATCCAAAGCTAACGCGTTTCTTCTATCTAGTGGAAGGGGATTTCCTTTTTGCTTGGAGCCCTGACGATCACTTGCGGCATAATTGTCTGGTTCGTTCTGGGAACTCCTCGCGAGGTTCGCTGGTTGAGCGAAGATGAGAAGCGAGCTGCCATCGCGCGTGTGATTGTGAACCAGACAGGATCCGACCAGCAAAAGCGATCCGAGTTCAAGTGGGAGCAGGTGTGGGCCACATTCAAAGGTTGGTCCTTCGTATCTTGTGAGACTGGCGCAACTACTCACAGATGGGCTACATCTAGATCCTCAAACCTATTTCTTCTTCTTCGTCACCATCGTAAACGCACTGCCTAATGGCGCCAACACTACTTTTTCGAAGTTGATCTGGAAGTCCTTCGGCTTTACTCCGCTAGAGACTCTGCTCAAAGGCTCAACCCCTTACTATTGCGTCAGCATTTGCTGGTTTATCGTCGTGGGATATGTCACATTGAAAAAGCCAAACTTGCGATGTAGGTTCTTTGAGATCTCCTCTCAGACCCTTAGTCTAATCAGAATCAGTTCTCATGATGATGTTCTCACTTATTCCCGCCTTCTCTGGAATGATGGCACTGGCATTCCTGCCACAGAATGACATGAAGTGGACAAGATGGGGGATGTACATCCTGCAAGTGTTTGGCTCACTCCCCGGGCTTAGTAAGTCTTCAGTCTCTTCAAAACAGTATCTCACCAGCTGACAGTCGTCCTCCAGTGATCTGGACATTCTTGCCATCCAACGTCGCCGGCCGAACGAAGAAGACAGTTACCGCCACGGTTCTATTTATCGCCTACTGTGTCGGCAATGCCGTTGGCGCACAAATGTTTGTTGCCTCGGATGCGCCCAAGTATATTCGTGGCCTTACGGCTTGTGCGGTCTTGTACGGTGTCGAATTCTGCAGCATGGCTTCATGGCGATTTTACTGTGAGCACATCTTCCGTTGAATTGTCTGACATAGACTGACTGTTGTACCTAGATATCTGGGAGAACCGCCGCCGCGCAAAGATTATCCAGGGACAGGGCATCTCTGAGGAGGAGAGTCTGCGTCTGGGTAAAGTGAACGCGGAAGCAGACATGACTGACCGCGAGAACATTCACTTCAAGTACAAGTATTAATGTGAGAAGTTACCCATGGCAAGACCAAGCACCAAGTTGGTTAATCACAGTCGGGACGATTCATGATCGGGTTCACGACTTGTTGCCAATGAAATGTTTTACTTACTGGGCACCTGAAGAGACAAGGATGATAACTACCTAGTAATATATTTAATATGCACCCTAATTTGCTTAATATACTGGCCGATAGAATAATTTATTGAATTACCACTGAGAATCCGCTTTCAGTGCGTACATGAGAGCTTATCTTATATATGTCCAAGTAATTAGTTTAGTCTACGAGACTTTCTTTGACGAAGGGTGTTATAGTAAGAATGTCCGTTCTGAAAATGTTTGGCTCTAATTGTATTGTTGCTATTTTTCACCACTAAAGATATCGCCGATCCGTAGGAGCTTATCCCAACGTTGATCTTTCTGAATCTCAATCGTTCCTTGAGGAGTGGCTACCCTCATTTCTTGTACAGTTTGGGTGCCAAACTCAAACGACTGTTCCTCGTTCACGAATGCCACCAGGGCCCGGATCCAATTTTCCATCAATTCCCTCTCCTTTGGCGTTGGTCCATGTTGAATTGAAAAGCTTTTCCTCTGTTAACTCAAGTCTAAATGGAGCGGAACACAAACACTCACTTCCAGAACGGTTTGTCCATAGCATGGGCCACTCCAAACGACATGGGAGCCACCGTTTCGTCGATAAATGACAACCGGTAGGCAATCTGATAACGCCACACATCCCGGAGATCAACTCCATTCGCCACGAGGTGCTTTGCCAATGCTCTCGAAGGGGCCCGGACTTGGCCGTCAGATACAATGTTTCCTAAATCATCAGTTAATGTATTGTGAAGAGGTTAGTAATTGCCGGCCTCGGGCACTTACCAAAGAGGCGTTTCCAAGCCTCCAGGTCCTGAGTAGCCGGCAGAGGATAACAATCAATTACTCTGTCGGTGACTTCTGGGGCATAATAGTTCATGACTTGAAGTTTCAACGAGTCGATAGTTGGATCTGTCGGACTGTTGTACGTTGAATATAATGTCTCTTCATTGGCAACCTCTCCAATGAGCAGTTTGTAGTGCCTAGACTTGAACTCGTCGGCAAAGCTCTTGCTCTGAAGATACTCAATCATCCCTGGGTGAATGAAAAGATTGTCGGTGACTGGACGAAATGTGTGCTGCTTTAGTTTTGGTATAACCGCAACGAGATCGCTGACACTCAGCTTCCGGAGCGACTCGAGCTTCTTCTTTGCAGGCAAGCTCTCATCGATATCAAACTGCTTGCATACTTCGTCGAACTGAACTTGAGTATCCTGCAATGATTTCGGCTGTGCCGGTATCGCGTTCGAGTCCATAAACACGCGACGGAACAGCGATGTCTTTGGGCCTGGCTTGCGGAAGTCAAATAACATCTGCGCTTCCACGCTGTAGGCTCCTGCACTCCGGCCGGCGAGGGTGATATTGTTTGGGTCGCCTCCAAACAGTGAGATATGTTCCCTAACCCATTCAGCAGCCATGCGCTGATCCCAAAGACCGAAATTTCCTGCCGAATCACCTCTGCTATCCTCTAGGAGATCTTGACCAGCAAGAAAGCCGAAGATATTCAAACGGTAGCCAATAGCCACCACAATGGCGTTAAGGCCCCCAGTTGAAATCAGCTCGGTCGGGTCCATGCCAGGCTCCTGCGATGGATCGCCCATTTGGAACCATCCTCCGTGAAGCCATAGCATCACAGGCCACTTCTTTCCCCTTGGGTCGCCTACAGGCGTCCAGATATTGACAAAGAGACAATCCTCGCTGTATTTCCCGGAACCTCCCTCAGCTTTTCCGACATGGAAAGCTTTCTGGGGGCAGACTGCTTTGAACTTGGTAGCATCAAATGGGCCACCAGCTCCATCTCCGTATGTGTAATCTGCGGGGAGCTGTCTCGGCTTGCGCCAGCGATTGTCGCCGGTTGGCGGAAGCGCGTAAGGAACACCTGCGAAGCGACGTGATTTTTTGTCGAGCTGGATGCCGCGAATCCTTCCCTTATTTCCAAGGTCTAGATCGTAGGCCTTTTGGTCGTAGGAGATGGTGTTTCCCATTTTCGATAATATTGAATATCTTGAGAATGTATGACAGCGTTTGGCATTGGCGTCGTGGCTAGAGCATGGCAGTCGTTTGCCCTCTTACAACAAACTTCATTCTATTACTCGATGACATCGGAGATCCGTTTGATAAATCGTCATGGGAGTGAGTGCAAGGGAAATCACTCATTGTGGGCTGCCCACTACCGCCCGGATCTCCGGCCGAGGAAATGGGGGGAGCGGGACCAGCAACCACTGCAAGAAACCTTGATTATGAACTTAAATCGTGATTTCCTACTCTAGTTTGACAAATTCAAAATCAATTACGAGCCAAAACTGCTGATAAAGCGCTGAGATGGGCAGCCTAAACCGCAAGCAGGAGGCCGTGGACCTCTCTCACCACATCAACGTGAAAAGCAAATCTCGCCACCCCTCGCCTCTCAAAGAAATCATCAAGTTCATGGGCTACGATGGCATGATAAGCCTGGCTGGAGGTATGTGCTTTTAGAACCAGATATGAATTATCATGAAGCTAAAATTATACCAGGTCTTCCTCATCCTTCTTTGTTTCCTCTCGAGAGAGCCAGATTTGAATGCCTCCCTCCATCTGCATCACTGGGAGATGAATCGACGGAAAATAGTCTTATAAGTCTCAATCTCGGTCGCGGATCGTCTCCTGGAGATCTCGACCTTACTCAATTTCTACAATACGGTACGACTTGAAGTATGAGATGCCATAGCCTACAGCAGCACCGCTAACGCGTGTTCACAGGAACTGGAGCTGGGAATCGACAACTTATCAAATTGGCTGAAGATTTGACCGAGCGAGTGCATGCTCCCCCTTGCCACTATGAATGTCTTTTGCACCCTGGAAACACAAACGCCTGGTCCAAGGTGGTTGGTCTCCTTTGTGAGGACAATGATTTCGTCATTGTTGAAGAGTTCACCTACCCATCTGCACAGGCGCTTTGGATCCCCCTTGGGATCAAGGCAGCTCCTGTTTCGGCCGACGCAGAGGGCATCTTGGCGACCAATCTAAGAGAAATGCTCGAGAACTGGGATGCGAAGTCGAGGGGAAGCCGAAGACCTAGAGTGTATGAATTCAACGTCACGACAAATAACTACTCCGAGGCTAATATGGTATTTTAGGCTTTATTTGGTATCGGTAGGCTCGAATCCAACAGGAATCACAATTTCCGCAAAGCGTCGCAGAGAAATTTACCAAGTTTGCATCGAGTTCGGTATCCATCACTCCCTTCCATTAATTAATGTTTCACCGGCTAATTCTGATCAGACTTGGTGATTGTGGAGGATGATCCCTATTATTTTCTTCAGTATCCGGGTTACTCGCATCAAGCCGAGGAGCAACCATATCAGCCAAAATCCATCGAAGAGTTTCTAAAGTCATTGACCCCGTCGTTCTTATCCATGGACACCCAAGGGCGTGTCATCCGACTCGAGTCCTTCTCCAAGACCATTTTCCCGGGTCTCCGGCTTGGTTATTTCATCGCCAATCCTCTGTTCACCGAACGACTGCTCCGAGCAACCGAAGTCGAGACTCAAGATCCCGCAGGTCTCAGTCAAGCATTCACGCTTGCTCTGTTCAACCAATGGGGAGTTGATGGATATCTGTTGTGGCTTCAGAGTTTGCAATATCAGTACAAAACAAGACGAGATTGGCTCGTCTCTGCGATATATGACCAGTTCGCAGTTGTGTCAGCAGCCAAGTCACCATTGCCAACTGCCCAAGGACATGTAGCCTGCTTACAGGCCAAAGAAAATGGCAAGCTGCGGCCCGTCTTTAGCTTCGTCGACCCAGAAGCCGGCATGTTCGTCTGGTCAAAGTTCTATTTTGGTGGAGTCGCTCGTTTCGTTGAGCTCGAGGCCCAGTCAATAGAGGACCCGGAGCAGGCGTTTGCTCAAGAGCTGTGGGAAGCCATGGTGGCGGAGCTCGTCTTACTAACACCCGGATCCTATTATCACGCTTGGCAAGGACCGGACAAGGTATCGACCAAAGCGCGGGGGGCTGATCCACGATCTGCCTTTTTCCGTCTTTCTTTTGCTACTCCAACGGTAAGCAGCATAATGATAGTAATTTCTCTGAATATGAAGCTAATGCATGTTCTATGTAGAAGGAACAAATTGAAGAGGGTGTGAAGCGAATGAGGAAAGTCTTGGGCCGATTCTGGGACGCGGCATCATAACATGTTGATCTCATCCGCGCTGTTTGAAATAAGTATAGAAAGTTTTTGTATATCTAACCAAGCATATTGGTCCATATTAGAGCTTTGTGACCACCCTTGCAAAATCTGAAATAAGCTGACAATACAAGGTCCCTTTTTCAAAATGTACCCCAGAAGTTATTAAAGTCCGCGTCAGAAGGATCCAAGTTCAGCAAATCAGGAGTGTGGATATGAGAAGCACCAGAAAGCTGGGGCTCTAAGAACGAACCCTGCCGATTGCCCGCAAAGATATCCAAGGTCTGTTCGATGATTGCCCTTCCCCTGGAAGCTCCGGAACACGTTCCTTCCAAGTTTTTCAGGAATCTGACACACTTTTCCACGTCTGGATCAGGTTTTCCGAGCGACTGGTCTTTCATCCAGACCCTATCATTATCGCCGTTAGTTTCCACACCGGCGTCGGGTGTCAAGGGATGCTTACAGAGCCAGGCCAGAAATTGTCAGGTAATGTACGGAAAACGCCATATAATGTGAGGGAGGCACGAAGTCCCGCACTAATTCAGTTGCATTGATGCAGCTACGAGCAGCAGAGAGGCAATTCTTTAGGGTTTGAGACTGGCTAAACGAATGTTTCCTGTTGGTAAAGGTCCTTTTTCTCTCCTTAGTATACGATTTGAGACCAATTGAGAGTGATGATGTGAAGAATACCTATACAGATCGAGGAGAGATCCTGCGTGCACGACAAATAAGATGATGCACATCGTTAAGTCCGGGCTGTGGTCCAAGTTGCTACACGTCGAGGTTAGTCAAACCATCAAACCGCCTTACACAATTGCGAGAGGAAGCTAAGCTATTTAAGACAAAGCATATTACATACTTGGCAGAGAACCGAATTTCGTCTGGCAAGCCATTAAGCCACACGTCCAACATTTTCTCCAACTTCTTCCCCAGGGCCATCATCCGCTTTTGACCTCGTGGGGTGTTCAGACTTGCTATACGGGTCGGCGACTGGAGGCTATGAACCTTGCCAGATATTTGGCAAAGTTGGGCAAATGCCAAAAAGCCCGACAAAGGCGACGTTGCTGGCAGTTCATGGTCAAAGGGAGTTGCCCGGTTACACGCAGCCTCTAGCTCTTCATCCGCCACAGGCATTGGTAAGTCGCAGCAACAGTCGCAGTCGTTGATAGACATCGGTCGTCCAAGACATACGGATGTGACCCTTTGAGTGAGATGGTTAGAATTTGCCCCATCCAGATGTTGGAATGGCATACCTGTCAAGACCATAGATGCTCCACCAGATTCGTCGAGAGATTTCTGCCTCCAGTGGAGACACCCCAGTGTCATCTATAGAGTGGCCAGAGACTGGTGCCTATTTGGAGTTCAGTATCAAGCCGCGAAGAGAGGAGGCAACACATACGAGCCTGCCCAGATGCATCCCAAGATCCTGAGCTGCCTTGACTGCCTGGCCAGCAAAATGCCAACTCAACGAAAGGGTGTTCCATCCAGCACAACACATGGATATCAGCGCAAGACACTGGGCGCGTTCCATTGTCGCTTGACCCGTCGTGGAATAATGGACCAACAAGGCCCTCTCATAGTACTCCAGGCCGGGAAATGTCGAATTATTTCCGTCCGAGGCTACCAGGCTCGAAGCACAAGCACATACAGCGAAGAAAACGGAGAGGAAGTTCCTGTCCCATCCTGTTTCCTTACGGACCATATATAGTTGTCTGTATTGCTCCATGAAGTGAGGCTTGTACAAAACTGGGAAGGTATAATGAAATTGGTTGAAATACAGCCCGACTAACATATCCGCTACGTATCGCGGTGGCAGATTTAACTCTTCAGGCTTTGGTAACTGCGGCAATTCACGCCACTGAAGACCATGCACAAAGAGTGGAATTTCAATTGAAACCCTTCGTTCCATTGGAGTTGGTCCGGTTTGTCCTGGTGTGCAAAAAGATGGCGATTCTGAGTTTGTTGAGGATGCTGGGGTCAGGCTCTGAATAGCCTGGACCAGTAGTTCATTACTGGCGCCTCCGATGAATCTTGGAGAGTCAACACGAGCGGAGGAGATCAGGGTGACATGTAAAAAGGCGAGACTCACCGTAAACACCCGTATGAGTCAGGAACGAGCGAGCCAAAGATCCCCAAGGTTGGGTCATACTTGGGGTTCAGCTGAAGTGAGTCCTCTGCTAATTCCTCATCTGTCTCCTCGCCGGGACTTTGTTCATTTATCCCCGGTCGGTAGAGCTGTAGATTTTGTGAGTGGGCACATCCTGGATCAGACGGTGCGCTTGTTGCTATTTCTGTGTGAGACATTGCAGATTCTGAGTCCAGTGGGCCTACAAGAGACCGTATATTTTGGGAAGCCTGCTCCAACTGCGTAGTAACAGAATCTTGAGGTGAAGCGGCCGTCTTATTTGGCAGCTTCTCAATGGCGTCGGTGAGTTTGTTTGTCAAGGCTTCTAGTCTCTGACACAACGTATCAACTTGATGAAAACGAGCTTCAAACATTGCAGCATAACTACTCGTGGTCAGTCAATGCAACACTCAAACTAGGATTGGCTTTGCAGGGCTCAGAGACTTGCGGCTGCTGGATGCGTTGTCGTTACTACCGGGATATTCACAGATAAGATCCCGGGAGCTGCAGTTCCGACATGGGTCATTGCCATCACACTTGATCTGGAACATCGTTAGCATGGTCCGCATATGGCCTGACAGAGACACTCATCGATACCTTCTTGCGCCGGCAAATAACACATGCTTGCCACACACGAGGTGCAATGCTCTCACTTGGCTCTTTACTCATGGTATCTGTCAATCAAGACAAGACAAGTTAAGGGAAAGCCTGTGTGTTTCCACTATCAGTAGTCATGGATCTATCAGCCAGGCCAGTTCGGAGCAGCAACAGAGGAGGAGACTGCTAGTGCGAGATGGTTTTGAGTTTCGCCGTCACATCTGCGCTCCGAGTGCGGGGATGTTTATCCAGTCACTGACTCAACTCCACAAGTTGGCAGGCCTAATCTAGTCTTTGGTAGCACCGCTATATCCTGATTATCTCCTATCTACACCAATTTTACACCGTTTGATACCGATCATCACATGCAACTAAGCGGTGGCAGAAGATTAAGAGGGCAGCTACATCCTAACGAGGATCGGGCTCCGGTGTCTTGAGAGAACTCGAGAACCTGGTGAGAAATTCAAGATCATGACACTAAATGACCCTATTCTCACTTCGACGGCGGCTCAAATACCCCTTTGTCTGGCTCAAATTGACCTGTGGGGCCAGAGACCCATCACGGACCGAGTTCCGGCCGAAAGATTATTACAGCACACCCAGAATATTGGCTTACCCTGTACTGTTGATGTTCAAATGTCTTACTCATCAGACCACTCATGATGAAGATAATTTTCAATAAAGTATTACCAGGACTTTCTTCCCCCGTAGCCCATTATTTAAAATACTTCGAGATAGATTAGGTATTACCGCCAGCTATCTATTCGTAGATTACGGACGTACGAAAGTCGATGATCACAATCTATTGCGTTATAGTAAAACTCACTCGCATGTTTTCCAGCTCAACCATATGCTTGAGGTCCTTTCAATTTGGCATACTGATATTGAAAAGATGTAATATTCTTCATTCACCATTCTTTTCTAAATATAGTCTCTTCTTATCGAAGCTAATAATTAAGGTAGTTAAGTCCTGGGTTCTTGAGCACTGGATCCAGATTGGTGCTGGAGTGAATCATTTTATAGGCCGCCCACTTGCATGGTTGTTGGTAAGACAGCTACCACACTGCATATATTGTTTCAGAAATAACAATTCCATGTACGGACGGGCCAGGCAGACATGGAAACACGCGATACCCCACTCATGTTACCAACAGATATTTTTGTTTGATCTCATGAGAGCTCCCGACAATATTCTCATTAAACGCCAACTTTATCCATGCTCCCGAGGCTTGGCATTCCTTTTCAAACCACCCTTTTCTTGGCCACAGCACGGAATCATGCTCTGTGAAGTATGCTCTGAGGTTCTCCATCTTTCATGAGATCTGCTCGTGGTGGCTGTGTAGTTTGCTCTCGTTTCAAATGGACACAGCAAGAGGGACAGGATCCTAAGTTTGCTGAATTTGGAATAAAATACTACTCAATCATGAAACTCAACTACTTTAGCGGGATTGGTATTGTTTTCACGACAGTTGATCGGTATATGCTACAGGAGAATTTAAGTGAGTTCAAGACGCTATATATGGAGTACACCTGCCTGTTCAGATGAATTGACCAAGATTTAGGGCCTGCCCGAAATTCAACAATGGATTTGAGCCCAAATACTGGGGGAAACGCCACCTGGAGTTTAGTTCGTGACTGGCTAGCCACTTGTTTCCAGTCTCACGACGACTGTAATGCAAAGAAAGACAAGGATTTTAGGCCTCCGTATCTTCTTCGCCCTGGCGGGAATTCCGAGACTTTCCATCTCGTTGAGGCAAAAGACGTTGACACCGGTACTCGCTATGCTACCCTTACGCACTGCTATACATTCAATAACGATAGCCTCAAACTTTCTTCATTAGTAAGAGAGAACCTCTTATCTCAGCAACCACTGTCCTCTCTACCTCAAACATACCGAGATGCCTTTACTATTGTTTCTCAACTTGGGCTTGAATATCTTTGGATTGACCACCTCTGCGTTTCACAAGATGCTCAAAATGATCTATCCATGTATAAGAACAAGATGATCAGGCGAAGGATCTTATCTAATAGCTTTATCGGGATCAGTGCAGCGTGGTCCATCTCCCCTTCCTCTGGGATATTTGTCAATCGTGATCTAGAACTGCTGAGGCCATATTCGTTCCCCTTCCCTATCGACTCAAACAGCAATCTAGTCCCTTTTAAGTTTGCTTATGCTGAAAGGGACGAGGGAAATATCAAGCGGTTCGAAATGGAGCCACTACACCAAAGTGCCCGAGCCACTCACGACCGTCTCTTAGTACCACGAGTGTTGCACTTTACGAGCCAAATGGTCTACTGGGAGTGCCATGGAATGCAATGCGATGAGCTTGGTCTTATTCTCAAGGGCGAGAATGACTCCTGTGATGTTGGGACAGAAGGAAAGATGACACGCGACGGTAAATCCGTCAGCAAACTGTGGAAGCCGCTGATCAAAGTTCTATACAACCAGAAGCATGACAACCCCATCGACCAGATACATTATCGCTGGCTGTGCTTCATTGAACACTACTCGCGCTTACAGGTGTTAAGGGAAGAGAAGCTACCCTTACTTGAGAATTTGGTCAGCGAAATAACAGACTTATTACTCAAGGAGGGTTGTGCAGATACTAAATATCTTTTTGGGATGTGGAGATCACTGATCCCCATGACTCTTCCATGGTTAGCACTTGGATACTCGCAGAGGCGGTCAAGAAAAGTTTATATCCCGACCTGGAGCTGGGCTTCAGTGGGGTCGGTAACCGTCCGCCATGCAATGGAAACAATCGCATGGAGGAAGATCATTGTTTGTGAGCTCGTTGACGTCGCTCGCGCTTGGGACAAGGCAGGGATCCTCACAACAGCTAGCCTGTTGCTAAAGGGGAAGCTTTTCATGGGAAGACTGGCCTCCTCTCCTCTTAGGAGCGGACCTTGTACTGAAGCGAGGATCCTAAGTTTGACTAACTATGGCTTTCCAATGCAAGCGCCAATGAAAATGGTACGTCCCAACATGACGTGGAGCGGAACCTTTGATACTGAGGAAGATATGAGAGAAGAGGTACTTTGCCTACCGGTAACTGTCAACATATTTTCCGGGCCGGCAGATATTAACCTTCTACTCAAATATTATATCGAGGGGATAATGCTGTCACGTCTTGAAGATGGGCGCTTCATTCGCCGTGGTCGGTGGACTATTGACCGTAGTTCCAAAGAGGAGTGTCTAGATGCCGTAAAGCAGCTGCAGGATCATGTCGTGGAACTTATATAGTGTTTAGGTATACCGTGCTATATGTAATTCCATAGCATGGCCGCTTAGTGTAGCAGGAATTAGTTTGAATTCATATTTTATTGAGCTCATAGGCTCTGCTTAGCCCTGCTTTTAGACATCTGGTTTATGTAGCTAGCCCACATTATTTCACGTCTATACAGATATTCCAAAACAAAGCAGCCCCCAGTCTACTTGTTGGTTATTACCAAGGCAGCAGCTAGTGCCATCCTATGTCGGCTCACTTTCAACTGCAGCAGCATAAAACCAAGCCTTCTTACATACAAGCAAGCAGTCGCAATATTTCCAGCTCATCTGTGCGTCGTGTCTCTTTTTGCTCTTCGTTGCTCTTTCCTTCCATTGAACAGAATGCTCACAGGTGCCCGAAGTGGGTTAACTCTCTCCCTAGAAACCAACCTGCGCACCCTCTTTATGAGGCTCCTCGCAGCCTGCAAACAGGGATCTCTCTCTACCGTCCGCTCCATCGTGCCCACCCTCTATCCTGCCTCTTCGCCTCCTTCACCCTCTGCACTTGTCCCTCCATTTAAGATTGCCCTCGCAACAGCCGCTCAACATGGCCAGGCAGATGTTCTTCGATATCTCCTCAGTTCTCCACAATGCTCAGCTTCACATACTCCCTGGTCGTCTCAGTTCCAGAAGCCCCCTTCCTCTCTCTCAGAACAATGGCAAATGGTTGCCCACCCTGATCTAGTTGTCATATGCGCCATCAGCTCTTCGTCTAAAAGATCGGCACGCCGTTAGGTCACGCCATCACACTCTAGAACTTAGAGGGTCAATTTCCTACTGGAGAAGGGAGCTGATGTGAATGTCATGCTTTGGATCCCACCCTGGAGTTTCTTGGCACACGCAGCCACCCTTCCTTCTATCGACATCTTGAACGCATTGCTGGATTACCGCGCGAAGCTGCCTGGTTCTACTGCTCGAGGACGGCTGCCCAGGTGGGGAACATCAAGATGGCTGAGGTTTACTAGAGAGGGGGATAGATGTGAATGAGCTGGACCGATGGAACATGACTGATCGAGCAGATGATTTCATCGGCACGCCTCTCCATGGGGCTGTGGTAGATGGGCAGGGTGAGATGGTTAGGTTTTGATTATCAAGGGGGGCAAGGACAGATATCAAAGACGGTGAAGGGAAAACGGCGAGGGATATTGCGGAGAGGGGAGAGTGTGGAGATGATGAAAATATTAGATGAAGCGAAGTAGAGAGGAGAATCACAATATGGTATGTGCTTGGTTATCGAAGTAGAAACACGAAAAGCGCCTAGCTACAGCAATAGTAGCTCGTTCTGTATTTTGTTTCATTGAAAAGCCCTCAGACAAACCAGAGCGGTGTCCTTGACATAAACAAACCACTCGAAGGTGAACATGCAGTACCCTTGCCGTATGTCACTCGGCGTTGGTTATAGGGTTTCCGTAATATTAGTGGTTTAGTAATAAGTAAGCTCCGCACTGTGATAAAATGGACATGGCCAAGATTATTCCGAATGCTGACCCCTCATCTCACAAACATCCATACACACTCCGTATACATGCGCTCGACAAGCGCGCGGCCGTTACTTGCTTTCTATCATGGCCTCATTTTCGGACATACCCAGAGAGGTCATTGACCAGATCTTGAAACACTTACCAAGATCTAGCCTCGCCATTGTTTGCCTCGCAAGTAAATCACTGAGACGTTGTGCTGAGCCTTTTCTCTACTCGACTGTTACGTTCGCATGGAATTTCCAGGACTCTCTTCTGATCGCTCCTCTTCTCGCGACCCTCGTACGCAGACCAGAACTTTTCAAACACTTGGATGTCGTAATTTTAGAAGGCATGTTGGAGGTGATGGATGACGTACTCCCCATGGTCACATACAATGTCCCATTCGACGAGTTTGAGGCTGCCATTAGAAAAACCAAAACATCATTTTCCGACATGTGGGTTGAGAAGTTAAGATCAGCTGATACATGCATCTACGCGCTTGCCGCTCTCTTGATTGCACATCTTTCTCGAACAACTCATCTCACGATCACAACACCTTGGATAAATGGGCAACCGTTGGTTGGCAAGGTTATTCAAGCCAAAATCTTGTCTGGCCAGCTCCCTCAATTTGAGCGGCTTAAACAATTAAAATACCTTAAGGTACGCGGCCGCATGGGTAAATATAACAGAATATTTGGAGAAACTATCAGTCTCTTCTACCTGCCGACAGTTACACACTTGGAAGTTATAATGACAAATCCGAAAATTTTCCAGTGGCCTGTACCTACAGGCGAGCCCAACCTCAGCCACCTGAAATCGCTTAAGATCGGATGGCTATGTGAACCATTTTTGGCCAAGATACTGGCTGCTGCCCGGAACTTGGAATACCTTGAATGGAGCTGGGAACATCACAGCCCACCGAACTCTTCGGATCCTAATATTATGGACTTTGATAAGATCACTGAAACGCTCCAGCCTCTGAAAGATACTCTCAAGTCATTTGCGTATACAATGAATCTTGGGGTAGAAGGCGACCTACTGGACCACCTGCCGATGCCTGTCCAGGGAAATTTCCGCCATCTTCGCAACTTTACAAGGCTTACTCACTTGGAGGTACCGCTCACACCACGCTCGGAAACCGACTCCACGCTTCTCGCTTTAGCAGACTTTGTTCCCGACAGCGTTGAGGTTCTTACTCTCTCTTCCGCTGCCTTAAATGAGGAATGGGGGGGCCCTGGCGCTTGGGCTGATGACGACGATTTCAAATTAGACGATGTTCTTCCTCTTCTAGAAGCTGCGGCTGATGGTCGCCCTGCAAGATTAACACGACTGCGGAGTGTTGTTCTCTTGGACGATGAAACTGGAGTTGGCCGTCACGGAATCGGTGATCTCCGTCGCCAAATCGGCGATAGAATAAAAAAGCTTGATCTCGGCTTTGAAGTCCGCTTCAAGGCGATTTAGCTTTGGCTAGCATGTTGGAACGAGCATCCCTGGATCTGCAGAGGAACAAACAAACTACCGCTTCCGTATACTATCTCTTTCCCTAGGCAGGCAAAGTCTAATAGCCTTTTTTGTTTCTATTATCTGTTTTCCTAACTACATATAATATTGAAATGATGCCTTCCTATATATTGTGAGAGACTTTGAGTATGACGTAAAAACACTAATAGAAGAGACCAGTCTCGGCATTACTAGCCCAGTGAGTAGGTTATCTTAGGTATACATAGACAAGTAAAGTAAGTTATAGGGAAGGAGTCTATAACAATCAATAGATCCAATCACCCCAGACTGAGCGCTAGGCACCGCCGCCGAGAGCAGCTTGGGAAGACTTTGCGTATTCAAGAGCGGTTGTTCCTCGGTCCTGCAATCATTTCCGAGAATAGTCGCCCTGCCGAGCCTTTCCGTGTCAAAAGGGACGGCACCGCTATCTCGATGGCTACTGGTAATCCTGTTGTGCTCCATGATGGTCTGATTCAGGTGAAGCGCTCCCTGGTGATCATATGGCCCTCGACAGATAGCGGATGTTTATCATGCACAACCAAGCGATTACTGAGCTCAGCGATGAGGTCATTAATTGGTAAGCTTATCCCTAATCATAGATCTGCTACTTGAAAACTTCTAGTATAAAGGCCTCTTGTTGATCCTGGCAACTTCATGTTGGGGCGGCCTTGGGGCTGGGGCCTGTCGTTGTTCGTACCTCTGGACAACGTATTCAATTCTCTGAAAATTGTGACGTCTAGCGAAGTCTAGCGCTGTCTGTCGGCCTTGAGGCATGACCGCCCCCTTTTCAAGTAATAGCTGAACCGATTCGGCGTTACGGCCTTCCCCGTGCTGTATTGCCCAAGCCAAGGGCGTGAACCCAGACCGAGTCAGAGCATTAACGTTCGCCCCATATTGGATCAACAATTCGATTGCTCGGGGTTTGTTGATGGCCGCTTTAAATATCGGAGAAGTGCCATCCGGATATTGAGCATGGACATGGGCTCCTTTTTTGAGAAGCAGCGAAATTGTATCAAAGTTCCCTTTCTCAATTGCGATGCAGAGAGGGCTGACGTGAAACTTCGACGGGTTGACGTTTGCGTTGTTTTCCAAGAGTGCCTTGGCTGAGTCTGTGCGGTTGCCGGCAGCCGCAATATGCAGCGGAGTTTGCCCCTTGGCGTTGAGAACATTAGGTTTGTGGTCGTTCTGTTCGAGCAAGTAACGAACAACCTTTTCATTACACCTCTCAACTGCGAGGTGAAGTATTGGCTGGCCCAGCCCGTTATCATTAAGGTGAGAGCTGGCACCCCCTTCCATTAACTCCATGGCTGTCGATGAATGGCCCCTTTCCACTGCCAAGAGAAGCAGCGGAGGCCGCCCGGGGAATGAAAAATTGGGGTTAGCACCACAGTCACAAAGAATCCTTACTTCTCGTGCATCACCGTTCGCGACAGCCCGCACGAGCTCTTGGTTACGCGCTGTAGGTGACATGTTGTTGAAATACGGCCCATCTGTATTTGTCGTCAGGTTTCAAAGCTACTGTAATTGCTGAGCGAGATTCACTTACCGCCATTGCTTTGACCGTAATCGTTATTGATGTTACCATTGTGTTCGTTACGATATCCGTGTTCGTGGTGGACATTTCCGTTCACGGCTCCATTATGCTGGAATGCTCTGCCATGCGCATTATTGTGGCTCCATGCTTGATGCTGTTGGCCGTGATGCTGTTGGCCGTGATATTGTTGACCGTGATGCGGTTGGCCATGATGAGGCTGGCCGTGATGAGGCTGGCCGTGATGGTGTTGGTTATAATGTGCCATCGTGTTAAAGAAGGGCTGTCCGAGTTCTAGCGATAAAACATGTACATGTTATGGCTGAAGCCTCCTCCTTTGACCATCTAGTGAAGGCAGGCGGCTATTTGTACAAGTAATAGAAGCAGGCTTTTGAGAGGGGCCTTGCAAACTACATGAACAAAAGGAACCATGTTTGCGGCTGAGCAGGTGAGTCACACTTGGCCCCTATAGCATGCAGGTAAATCCAGATGAGGTAATACTAATCTTAATATTGATATGCCTTCCCATAAATCTATTCGCAAGGCAACTTCAGCCCCGCTGATGGTGTGGGTGGTAATATTGGTTGCGAACCACGATGGCCAAGATTTTTCATATAGATAAGCGGGAATAATTCACTCACCACCTTTTTCAACACTGGTTCCTCACGATCTAAACTATCTTAAGATTTAGGATACTCCCATTTCAGCGCTTTCTGCAACTTCTTCTGATCATTTGCATCATTCCCCGGTGACCGGTTAAGATCAAGCAATGCGTCTACTCTACTATGATGATATAGGCCAAATAAGGCTGGAATATTTTAGAGATTCCCCGCCCCCCTATGCGATATTATCTCACAATTGGGGCCCGGAAGAGGTCACCTTCCAGGACGTAACGAACAACACCGGGACACACAAGGCGGGATATGAGAAAATCCGTTTCTGTGGGCAGCAAGCCCGACGCCACGGCCTCGAATTCTTCTGGGTCGACTCGTGCTGTATAGATAAAACAAACAATACCGAGCTCACCACGGCTATCAATTCAATGTTTGCTTGGTATCACCAGGCAGCCCGATGCTACGTCTATCTTTCGGATGTTCCGACACCCGCCCTTGCTAAATCCAATGGCACGGTTTGGGAGGAAGCTTTTATGGCGAGCCGGTGGTTCACCCGTGGATGGACCCTCCAAGAGCTACTTGCGCCCGAAATAGTCGAGTTTTATACCAAGGAAGGAATATGTTTGGGGACAAAGGCCTCCCTAGAGCGTGAGATCCATCGTGTCACTCGTATCTCGGTTCGGACACTTCGAGGCTACCAACTTTCCGCCTTTGGCGTGAAGGAGAGGATGGAATGGGCGAACGGGAGGAACACAACCGAGCCGGAAGACTGGGCATATTCCCTCCTTGGTATCTTTGACGTTTCAATGCCTCTTATCTATGGAGAGGGCCGGGATAAATCAATTAGACGGCTAAAGGAGGAGATAAATAAGCGTTACAAAGGCGAGGCAGCGTCCAATAACCGTATTTACGAGAGAAATAGAACCTTTGACCAGGCACGGGCTGTCAATGGGGATGTAGGCGGCATTGCACAGGGCGATGGAAGATCTCAGGTTGAGTATAGGAGTAATGAGGCAAGTGGTACTAGTTTTCAAGTAAATGGAAGTATGGACGCAGCGTCTTTTCAAGCTTTTTTGTCTAATAGATAGTATTGATTATAGTGAAGACAGTTCTAAAAGCTTTTAAGATTAGGAATACTAAAAGCTTCAGCAGTTGACTCATAAGATACAATTATACTATGGCTTCTTGATTCAAGAGGGCTTAACAGTGTGCATCTATTAGAGCATCAAAAGTCTAGGTTGATTTTGTTTTTATTCGCCCAAATGAGAGTTAGCTATCGTCAACAAATGATTCTCTATCCACTATATTATTTCATAATTATACAACTTTCTGAAGCTGAGGGCACTATACCTACATACCGTGTAACCAGGGGGTATAGTCATGGTCATAAGATTGGTCAATAGAAAGTGGGCGGCTGAATTCTCGTCCTTATCGCAGGTCAAGGAAGCCTCGATGACCTGGTCACAGTCAAAGCCAAGGAGGGTGGCAAGCACCGGGACCATGATCAACTAACCGAAAGGGAGTACGATGTTATTCCACTCACACAAGACAGTCCTTGTGCACAGCCTTGCTACGTGCGAATTAAGACGAATATTAAGAAGAAATCAGCCTCGTACAGCTGATCACACCCCCACCCACCCCCCCAGCCACCGGATTTATCCTGGCCGAACTAGTAGCCTCCACGCGTCTGCTTAGAAGAAAATGTATCTAGAACTATCATTTCTCTACTAGACTGATTGATTGTAGGATCCTACTTTGTATACATGTACGACAATCATACTTTATTTAATAATAAACTTTTTATGACATTCTTTTTTTACTATATGTTAAGGGCTTCTGCTTTCTTTGTTCAGCTTCGCAAATCAGAATCAAGGGTAACCGCATTTGGACATGTTACATGACTAAAAGTAAGAGAGGATCTGCAAAAGAGACCTACAAAATGTTAGATCAAATTGAAACGTGGATACGCCCGACTAAATCCGATTTGCCCGGCTCATACCACTGAAAAGGGAATCTGTACTTCTCGACGACCCACACTCAAAGAGACATCAGGATCGTGTGTCTTGGGTTTCGCTAAACCATGTTTTCCCCGTCCAATGATGATTCAATATAGTGAGCATGAGAAAGATTGACAGGCCTATTACTCAACAGAGCGAGGAAAAGGAGAATCATCTTTACTACAGCTACGTAAGACCGCCTCTACCCATCTCCATTCGCTTATATTAAGTGGGCCAATCCATGCCCTATATAATCTAACTAAGACACTCAGAATGTATCAATCAATATTGACCAACCATCCAACAGCACTATAAGTACTGTATAGGACGTGACTAACGACCAGGCCGGTTTTAGCTCCATTGACAGCTAAAAGTCCCAGTAGCTATATTTCCTTTCGTAGTTGAGGAAAGACAGATAGATTTCCGTCCGGATCAAGACAAAAAGTCTTATGTAACTGGCTTGTTTTAGCAAAGGGACTTTAGTGCTTTCATGCAACTAAATGCTACAGTAAGTCATGGTAGTACCATGGATAATGGAACTGTAGATCCATCTCTGCAGGAATGTAAGCGAGTGGTACCTTGTCCCGATCTGATCTATGACATGACACTACATGCATGGAAAAATTCAGCCCTAATCTCGTGTAGAAAAGATCCTATCACATCACTCTACGCCAAAACGTGATCAGACCTAAGCGAAGGAGGGGCCACAGAGGTATGGAGAGTGGCCGAAGCAAATGAGATGACATAGCCTTCAATTTCGCTTACACGTGCCTATATTCCAATGAAATCCCAGACACTTCAAGTATAGTCTAGACTAATACTGGCTGATCGACGACAAAGTCTTTTCTTGGAATGATTCCTTTACTCCTGAAAAGCTATATAGGATTTAATACTACGTGGGGTCTAGGCCAGTCAGGCGTGCAGAAAGGGTTGCTTTGTGGCAATGCGGTTAGAAGATCAATGTTTCAGGAAGCAGAACGCCGACGTTGAGCTGGAAGTAGTCTATGATCTTCCATCGTCGGCATCTCGGCATTTATGGGCAAAACGAAGCGTTGTGTCCGTTCTGCTAGGAATCCGAGGACAGTAATCGAAGTATATAAAGGCCATCTGCTAGCACGTCTTGCAAACCACAACCAACACACCTCAATCCACACACAACCATCCTACAGCACCAACCTGTTTGTCACAAATCAATTCTTATAAAATCACTCAAGGCCAACTTTGTTCAAAATGCTCTTCGGTGCCAGCTCTACAATTCTGGCTGCTTTTGCGGCCCTCACTGCCACGACTTTCGCCATGCCCGGGGCTAATCCAAGCCTCGAGCAACGCGACTCCGCAACCTGTCGCTATTTTCAAGACACGGACGGTCTTCGGTACGAAATTGAAATCGACAGCGCTCAGGATGTTCATGTCTGTGATGGCATCGGTGCCAACATTCCCTGCTCCCAGGTGAGATGGGGCTGTGAGGCGCAGGGAAGCCGTAAGATTATGAGCTTCACTGTTCTCGGTTGCAACCCGGGAGATGTCGAGCGTGCCATCTATCTCGCCACCGCTCCTCACTTGGAGGGAGTCAAGTGTATTACTCGGGGCTGAAGGCTTAGCATAACTACAGGGCTGATAGAGGACTCTTATTCAACATAAGTAGTACGATGTTAGCCATGTAAACGGGGAGCTGCCCCACAGGAGGTTTTCTCCTTATCATTGGGAGGATCGAATTCCCATCATTACATACTGTGGATTTATGTATGAAATGGAATACTTTCAAGGGCTACGGTGGTTCCTAGAAGTTTTCTTTCTTTTCTTAGGGTAATTTGATCTCAAACAAGGAAAGTTCTTTGTACCAGAAATAATGTCCATCCCTTGATGTGCTCTCGGATTACATTCATAGGCTTAGGCTTGGCAAGATATGGCATCACATATTTCCCAAAATCTTGATAAGACCATTCCACCATCACCCTCTCGGCTTTCCTGATCTTCTTTCCGATCGAGAAATAAGTTGGCAAACTTTCCGTCAGGCCTTACTGGTGATCAAAATTGCCATTTCAGGCTCAAAAACTTGGATGTCGAGGTACTTCCAGAATAGGTCCTGTAGGACTGTCCCTGCTCATTATCCGCATGTTTCTCTAGATCTTAGATGTTTCGACTGCCCTAAAGGCACCATAGTAGCTACGTCATCCCCAATGCACCCAAGGCCCGTTGTGCCTCCGCGGCATGATCGCAGGTCAACAAGCATCGTGTTGTGCTTGAAAGCCTCGTTAGAGAATTTGTAACTTGTAAGCCGAGGGTGAGACTAGAGGAGTTTATCAACAAATCGATGTCTATATCCTGGCTTTTGGACTCTCTAGAGCAACTGGCAGGCTGTCGAATCTGCAAGGACCGTCTCAGTGATACCTAAACCAAGAAGAAGCATGAAACCAACAACCTCCATCGCTACCAGCACGACGATCCACCATCTGAAAAATACACTAATCCTGCGCAAAGGTGTCTGCTCAACGGTTCTCCCCATTCCTAGATACTGGCTCATCGACACCTTCGGACGAGGTGGCGTATCGCCATTCAGTCTTGCCTCCGTTTCAGGCTTGGGTTGTGACAGGTGATCCTCGATGCTGTACGCGGCTGTCGCCAGAATGAAAACAGCACTCAGGCCCAATCCCGCGAAGCCGAGATAGCGGCCGCCGGCAAAGTGAAGCGCAATATTGAGCAGGAGAAATCCGGCAATAATCATGACCCCAATCAAACCGAACTGGATCTGTATGAAGGCGTGCTTGCCCGTTTCAACAACTTGTCCGTCCGGCCTGTTGTGTAGCGCGACGTAGATGGAGGAGGCGGCGATGGGACACATGAGAAAGAATTGCGAGGCAAAGGCGACGAGGGCGCGGACACGGCTCGCGTTGCAAGCTTCGGGCAAGGCAAACTGCGTCGATAGTGTCACTGCGCCCGCAAATGTTGACAAGAGGATTAGTACATTTGCGAGCTCAAGGTATGACTTTTTGGTAGGCGTGTTTCGCACCATCGTGTATTCAGTTTGCGCGACTGCTACCTAGATTCTTGATGATGAACACAACGATGAGCCTAGGGAGCAGTCAATTATGTGTGTCGTGAAATCGTTCGGTCAGCTAGATTTAGCAACGTCGCGGCGATGACATCGTTGTACATTAGTTAGTCAGTAGGATCAGCGTCAGCTGTAGCACTGTGCCACCGCCACTAAGTATGTGCTGACCATTTGTTAGAGCTGGATTCATGTGATACGTATAGCATAGACGATGAGTGACCAAAGTCCTTAGGATGCATTAGCGTCAAGCGGAGGGTCGCAATGACCAACAGAAATGAAGCACTGAAACCTCATATGAGACAACTGTAACCAAATCTTGATGGCGAGACAGTCTTAGAAATGAAAATGCTTCATGATGTTTCGTTTTCGCAGATTCAAAGGTAGTTATAAGTTTCTTTTGTGAATAACTCGCCCTACAAAATATCCTTTTTTATCTACCAGTTACTTGGAACTTCCCGCATGCATTGGCGAAATTTAATCGAAGCTTCTAGATGAAGAGCCTCTTTGGATGTCTGAAAGAATTCGTTGGTGGTAAAGCTAGAGTAATTTATCTACTTTTGAAGCCTCACATGGTAATGCGAAGTTTACATCCATGCTGTGAAGTTATGTCTGAGTAAATATTACCTTCGTGAATGCGTCAGTATCTATGATGTTCGCCTAAGTGCCACTGCTTACTAGTTTTTGTGGTCTTCCATTATTTAGGAGCTAAATTCTTAGCTATTCGTGTGAGATGTATCATGTGCTACGCATGTTGAAGTTCGCTTGTATTCGGCTGAGATTTTACCTACCCTATAGCCACATAACACCACCAGATGTCGTCTCCAGCCATAAGTAGAGTTCCTTAGTTGTAACCTCGAGATACATTCATATTCCTTTATCAAATAATTAACCTTAATTTACGGTATTCTCGAATTCTTAAATGAGAAAGCACACGTCTTTGACGCTTCCCAGCGGTCGTCATACTCCTCTATGCGTCTTTATACCTAGCACAAGTAGCGAAGTACTCTTTTTTTTTTTTTTTTTCTCCCAAGCTTATCGATTTTCACCCATAACTCTGTCTAATGATTCGGCATGTGGTCGCCAGGCATCGCGCTGCTCTTTGAAGAAAGCTTGCCTAGATTTGACATGGTTCGCCACCGCGCCACTCTGCTTACCTGCATGTGCCAATACGCGCTTACTTCAAGTCGACTGACGGACCTCTTCGATCGGCGTAAATAGCACTGTAAAAACAAAACTAAAAAGTCGAATGAGAAGTAATGGATGATCATTCGCTGGACCGTTACTGTTGGACACTACTTGACTACTAGCACATATAGGCCAAAGCCGGTCGATCAGGCCAACTCGACCCGACCCCAAACTCCATGTCAGCACATCCCTGAGCTTCGCCTTTTGGGAATGGCCAAAGTGCCAAAAATAGTCCTTAGTGCATGAAAAAGCAGGTAAGGCCCCATCAACTTGCGACACCTAGCCTGGTTGACTGAAATCGTCTCTGCTACGGCACGTGTGTTGTGAAGAGAACATTCTCTGCCCTTCAAATGCAAGATAGTCATCGACCTTTGCCGTTCACCTTTGGCAGCGCACATCATGCTACGGTAGGGCAGAGATGGCCTCCTACAATATGATCGATATGCCCCCGAGGGAGCACGGGCACACACCAGCACAAACTCCAAGATTGCCAAGCCCGACTGGGTCTTTCAGGTCCGTCTCCAGCATCTCAAGTCAAGGTGACCAGACGGAGCTCATGTCTCCGCATCTGCAGATCTCGGTGAACGAATCAAAGGGGAAGAAGCTCCCTAGCCCTCCATATGATAATGTCGCCTGGGAAGGTCTCCCCAGAGGCGTTGCATCCAAGGATGGGAACAAGCATGTCCATTCGGATCATTTTAGAGAAACGACCAAAGGTGGCCCGCGTTCTGAAGACCCGGTGGCATGGCAGCCGTTTTGGCTGAAGAAGGAGACGCTGGGGGTCTTCACGTTCCTTTACCTATTCTTTGCCGTGGTTCTGGTGGCCCTGTTGATAACTTCACAACGCAACGCTGGCCTTGTGGAGGGTCGCAAAGAGCTTGAAATGCTATGGAAATTTGCCCCCACTGCTAGTGAGCCTAACACCTTACCACTCAACAAGTATCGAATTTCCAAGGACTGACATAGTCATTCTAGTCTTCACCCTGGCGGCCACATTCTGGGCCCGAGTCGAGCTGCAGACTTTGAGGTACTACCCATGGGCGGTTATTCAGAATGAACCACCCACAAGACATAATGTGTACACGCTCGACTACAACGCCATGATCCCCATTAGGGTCATGTATGACGCCCTGCGCAGACGGCATCTCTTCGTCTTCTTCGTTGTTCTCACATCCGTCATCCTCAAGATCCAGGTCGTCCTCGGACCGAGTATCTTCTACCTGGACAGCCAGTTCCGCTCTAGCCCGACCGTAGTCCAGGCTCTGGATTCATTCGACACCGTTAATGCCCAGGACCGGGGAGATTTACCACTGTTCGGGCTACAGCATGCGGTTGGTATTCGAAAATTTGGCATGAGTCGCCCTTTTGGCGTGTCGGAAAATGCAACGTACCAGACTTTTGATTTGAAAGGCGGAGATGCTCGAGGCACGATCGAGGCACCCGTCACTGCGGTGGTTGACGGCATGTTCATGGATATCAAGTGTATACCCCTGGTTGACTATTCGGTTACAAAACCTTGGGCAATGACGGGGCAATACAACGAGTCATACATGACCCTCGACCTGCAATTCGAAGGCTGCGAGCAAAGCGTTGAATACGAGGTCGAAATGTCCGAAACAACCGTTGAGAAGGGAAAAGAAGCCTCTACTTGGGGCATAATGCCCCTGTATACAGAAAAGGAAGACGAGGGTAAGACCAACTTTACATCAGGAGTCCCATTCTCCAAGACCCTGGGTTCCTGGGCCGATCATCCCCGGACGATATGCTCCTCGCTACCACAGCAATTCCCCCCCTTCATATATTTCGGGGCTTACTGGAAGCCATCCGAGGCAAATAAGACGAACTATGAAATGATGGCACATGCAGGTGTCATCTGCTCACCGACTGGGTGGACATCGAAGGTGCAGGTCACGGACGACGGCGTGGACCCCAAGGTCGCGATTGTGCCAGGCCAGGAGAATTCTCCTATGGCCCTGAATCCCTGGAGCATCCTCTCTAACGTCGGTGGACAGAGGGCAGGGGGTGGCTCGGGTACTGTGATTGGCCCCCTGGTTTTCTCATACATGTTGACGGAATACCCAGAGTTTGACCAGGTGGGAACCAATCCGGCCTTGTACAGCAACAGCTTTTTGACTGATGCTGTCTACAACATGACCAAGATGAGTGGGCCTTTGATTCTAAGCTATCAGCTTCGTCACACGAATGAGAGTGAGGTAACAGGGACGAGGCAGACGAGCATCAACAAACTTCAGGTGCGACTGAGTGTCTGCATACCGGTTATTATCCTATTCCTTATTTCTTCGATTATTGCCTGCGTTGGGATGGTGAGGTTCAGCCCCATGTTTCAAATCTGGTTCCGGAACCCAACCACTATTTTGGGATCAGTTCTATTCTTTGGTAGCAGGAGCAAGCTTAGTACAGCTGTGAAGGAGGACCTGTTCGAGACCAGTGGCATCCGCAAGGATGTTTGGCAGCATTCAAACTACTCCCCACCATCGCTGCGGACCTGGGTCCGCTCGATCTTTGTACTGTACGCACTGGCACTTATCGTGACTCTGGCAGTGACGCTTTGCGTATCGAAAACGCAAAATGGCTTGGCTAAAGTCAGCCAGGGTGCCCCGGCGATTTGGTGGACGTCAATCCCGGCACTTGCAATGACCTTGATCACACTCTACACAACCTCGTCGGACTCAGAGATTAGGAAACTTTCCCTGCACTTCTGTGCCAATACGAGACCCTGCAAGGCTATGGAACTGGATATGTGTCTTCTCGATATGCTTGGGTTGCGAGCCCTGTACCATTCATTCGGGCTGCGGTTGCCTGTTGTCACATTGGTACAGGGTCTTGCTATCCTCTCCGGCTTCCTGGCGGCCTTGTCGTCGCTCCTGTTCACTACTATTGAAGTCACGGAGTGGCAAGATATGAAGTTTGCGCCAATAGACACATTTTCCAATGATGGGACCACGCCAGAGTCCGGTCTTGGATACGAAGGAGCTATGCAGAGTCTAATCACCACATACGACAGGTCCAACTTCACCTGGCCCAAGGGGACTTATAGCAGCCTCCTTTTTCCAACACTTGAAATCGACGCCCTTGAAGGCCTCGATAGCTCTAGCGCTACTATTGAGTTCGACACACCGGCTGTGACGCTCAGACCTGAGTGTGAGAATATCTCATCGGGCAACGACATCACAATAAAGCCTACTGAGGACGATATGAACGAGCCGGTGTATGTGACTGTCAACAACAAGCATACTTGCGCAAGCGGTGGATCAATTTCTCTAAGCGTCTCATTCGTCTCGTCGAACTACGTTGAAGGCAAGTATTACTTCGCTGTCACACAGGAGCGTGGCAGCTGCAAGGGCGACTCAGCCACCGTCGCTAATGGCACCGTGACTCACATCTGGGGCTCTGTGCCGTATAACCATAGCACCCCAGACTACTACGCTATGATTAAGTGTACTTACACCTGGGCCGAAGTCTCTACCAAGGTCAAGATGAGCTACACCGGCGGAGATCTCCAGTTTGATCAGAACAAACCGCCGAGCCCCGACTTTGCCACCCTCACACCGTGGAACAAGACCGTGTTCGCCATGCCTACCCAGATCGATAGTATGTGGCCAACTCTTGGTGGCACGGACACAAAACAGGGTGGCAACTACGGGGCGTTCGGCCTGCTCATTGAGCCTTTTGGTAAGATGAAGCTGCAAGACTTTGGCGACTCAGCCAAGGAGAATGACGTCCTCAACGAGCTCCACACCAAGAGGGCCATATATGCCGCTCAGCTAGCAAATAACAGGAACAGAGTCCAACTTAACCACTCTTCCTCTGCAGGACAAGAGCCGACTGCTGTTAATGTGAGGGTATCCCTTGGCGGGACCCGGCGTCTTGACCAGAGTGCACCCATCACCTATGTGATAATCGGCATCCTCTCTCTGGCGTTTCTGATCAACCTGTGGGCACTGATATCGGGTGTGTTGGGGCGGTTCTTGGATAATAAGCGGAAGTGGCTGCTTGATATGTCGATGAGGGGTCTGGCGCCTGATCAGTTTGGGAGCATCATAATGGCCGACTCTCTCCTCCTTGGCTCAAACTATCAAAAGTTCATACCAGAAGAATCCTATTTAGAGAAGCCGGCCGTGCTGCACCAGAAGCTAGCCCACCTTCGTTTCCGTATGGGAGGATTTATAAGAAGAGGCCAGGAGAAGGAAGTAACACTTGGAGTACTTGGTGATGACGAGTTGCAGTTCTTAGGCGGTTAAGTAGCTACAGGATTTATATTTCGTTCGCCAGGAGATTGTATTATACAACAACACTTGTTGAATGAATAAATTTAGGCCGGTTGGGTCAAAGAATAAACGCTCCGTCGTGAAATTAACGCTACTATAAAAAAAAGGGGTAGACATCAAATAGCTTACTGTTCTGAACATTATCCTCTATAATGCCTCCTAATAACTTGCAAGTTTAATCGACCCCCTAAGCCTAAAATAGCATATTGAACAGACCGCCATTTAATTTATTTTTGATGGTGGTTATGAGTGCGGCACATGCGGGCATGCTAATGTAGGCAGCAGTCAGCATTCACGGACCCGCTCATTTTGGGTTATAAATCGTTCGAGATTCCCAGCTGCACTTTTTTATTAATTATTAGTACGGAGCACAGCAGAGAGCAGGTCAAGCCAAGATGTGGAGAGAGGATCAAGTCGTGTGGCCTCCATACTGGACGCCAACGCCTCTCCCTGATACACAGGATGGCCTGCCCTTGGCCGCAACCCTCAACAAAGCCGAGAACAATCCCCAGAAAGACAGTCCTCTATTCCGTCTCTCCCCCGAGATCCGAGTGCGCATCTACGACTTGGCTCTACAGACTTTCTGCGATCAAGACCGGGCCTTTGGGGACAGGGATCTCTTCAAGAGACCCAGTCTGACCGGCCCCCGGCGCATCTACACGGCGCTGTTGCGGACATGCCGCGCTGTGTACGCGGAGACTTGGGCACTACCCCTCATAAATACCTCGTTGGTCATCCACGAAGGCTCTGAGGAGGATCGCCCCCCGAGCAGGCCGCACTCGGTCATGTCCCCGAACAAACGGCTCTTCTATCTACAGGCATGGCAGCTTCTCTTGATAGGGGGCGTGGACATGACCTTCCAGCAGATTAGACTCGAGAACGGGGGCATAGAGGAGTGGCTACGCCGCCTTCACCACGCCAGGGGCCATGCGCGGGAGATCATGCGCCGCGTAGCGAGTGAGAAGCACCCAGGCAGCCAATTTGTCAAAGACTTTGTCGAGAACAGTCTCATTGGCGTCAGAGTACGCGCTCTCACAGTGAGGGTGAACCGTCGCGACTGGTGGAACTGGACGAATGACCCTTCGACCAATTCGCCCGAGCGCGCCAGCCGAAAAAGAATGATTCGCGTGCTGCAGCCAAAGACGCCGCATGACTTTGGACCGTATCCCAATGATGACAGCGAGCCTCTTCTGGGTGAAGATTGCACTCTATCATTTGTGTTGGAGACATTTGGCCCCAAAGCGAATGAATTAGACTACACAGTCAACCAGGCCAAGGAATGGGTTTTTGCTATCCCTTCTCTCTCGCAGGAGGGACAGAATAGACATGTTTTAGGATGGGATGGTCAAGTTCGCGATGAGAGTTGGGAACAAGCCGTCAACGAGCCTCGTATTGCCTGGCTACGGAAGCCTGTCTATAGTACAGTTAGGAACCGAATCGAGGTAAGATTTATTCGATTCATACCGAAACTAGCGCAGGATTAGGATATGCATTCTTTAATATAGGTATTCAGACACACTTTACATCATCAGCAGTGATGACAATGCCCTAACGGAGGACCATTTATTCTTTGCTTAATTGCAGACTAGTTTATAGACAAAGCACCCCGTCTTCCACTCTCAGCATCCAGTCATCCTGTCCTTCATAAGGTGGAAGCTCACGTCGGCGTCGTACCACTATAGCTTATTTGCAGAAACCACGCTTGCATTGCCAGCCTTTGTTACAGTCATCGTCAGAGCTGCAGCGACGCTAGAGAGACGTTACTATTTGCCTCTGCTACTACCTTCATACCACAATAGTCCCATAGCCTTACCTTGCGTTTCACGTTCTTGGCTGTTGCTCGCGTAAAAAGTTCTCGCTTATGATAGGCGATCTCATCCGCGTAGGCATCGATGATGGCTTCACGGCGTGCGAGATTGTTAATCTCATCAATGTCACGCTGGTCGAGTTCGGCACTGGGATGGGTGACGAATACGGCCGAGGTGAGGGCAATTAAAGAGAAAAGAGCAGCCAAGCGCATTGTGAATACTCGAGCTACAAATTTTTGCCAAAGGGGTCATCAGTTGTTGAAGAGATGAACTTTGGGAACATAGGAGAATCGTCCCGAGGTAGGTGAATAATTAATATTTGCAAATCTCCTACTAAAAAGAGCTGATTACTATTAATGCACAGCTTCCCTTCAGGAATCGGTTGCTGATGAAGCAGAGAGCTACGGAGACAGAGGCGTATTCTCACCAGCACGGTCGTATCAACACCCTTGGTCAGTCTAATTTTCAATCTTGAGTACGGAAGCGTGTCGATCGATAGGGTAGAGGGATACTTGAATTGGACTGTATCTTATTGAGGATTTATGTCTGCTTGAACGAACCAAATCTTTGATGAGCGTATTCGCTTCCCGCTATCCTTGTATACGACAATGAAATTAAAAATGCGATCCGCAAAGCAAGAGTTTCACATGTCAAGGATATGGCTATAATAGAGCTCATAACGACCCCTTCTAGCTAGCTTGGCGCTTGTTTAGCACGGCAGCTCAGATGTGTTAGGGCCTCATGTTTCATGGTCTGACTGACAAGTGGAAACTGAACGACATTACTAGCAAGTCAAAGGCGGGCTCCTCGCTACTACTTAGATCCTACAAAAAGGCCTTGAATCGCAAATGGGGAAATCACCTGGCTTTTGAGAACAAGATATTGTGGGTGCATTGAATGGTATGGAGGAGGACATGCTTAATCTGTGGTACCCCCTTAATGCACATAAGATCCATATGTCCTATTAACTGGAGTGTATGACCATTGTCCTAGATTTCCACGCCTCTCGATCCTTTCTGGATTATCTTCTGCTACATATTTCGCTTTAAACATCTCGATAAACTTGGTTTACTCCAAAAATTGACTGCTTCACTTGAATTTTGTCAACACATGGCCAAAGCCATCGACCGACTTTTTTGTCCAAATACGATTCTACATGATGTTTCAACAGCTTACTTGCGAGCGAGCAGGGAGGTCACAGAAGGGCTTGAAGGCCGAGTCCTTGACAAAAAAATCCAATTGACAGAATCTCTATCACCGTGAATCCTTGATTCATAATTTGGCTTTTCCCATTTCTTCTATTTGGTCTCGCGTTATAGAAAACACCCAGTTTTTGACCACCCGTGCAAACTTGTCCACTTCTTCAATTGTATTGCCCGCGTGCACGCAGATTCTGACCCTCTCCGTGCCCCTTGGCACTGTTGGCGGTACAATTGGACGAACTGTAATACCGTTCTGGCCGCAATACTGGGCCAGTTTACGAGGCTTGGAGGTGAACAGAGGGATGATGGGCGTGGCTGGTGCTTCAATGCTAACACGGAGGAGAGTTGGTGAGACTTTGCCCTCGGCGCAAATAGACAGGAGCTGGTGGTGCATTCGTTGGACGAGTGCACGGAGCCGCCGGAGGAGAACGTCGGATGAACCACTGGCTAAGAAATCATATACTACCCGGATACTGGCAAGGTTGGGGAATGACATAGCCGTTGTATAGATAAGTGTCCGGGCGTAATTGATGAGATATTCGCGTACAACAGGGGAAGATAAGACGATGGCTACAATGATTGTCAATGGAAGTTTCCTTAACATTCAATTGGGGATAGGTCACAAGTTACTTACCTCCTGATGCGCCAATTGCTTTGCCAAAGGTATGAACGCGGGCAAAGATGTCCTTTTCCAAACCCAATTCGCAGACCAAGCCTCGACCATTCTGGCCAAATAAGCCGGTAGAATGCGCTTCATCCACAATTATGTACCCATTTCCATGCGGCAACCGTTGCCTCACTGTGTTAACAATTTCTAAGAGCGGCGCGACGTCGCCGTCCATGCTATAGACACTCTCCACTACCACGAATACTGAAGCCTTCCCTTCCTTAATGGTCTGGCCATTATTGTCTGAAAGAACTCTGCGAAGAGCTTCATCGAGGCTCGGTAGCAATCCAGGATTGACCTGCGATTCTGATGCTGCGTGGACTAGATTGTGGCTAAATGGCAATCGTTGAGCAGCACGACTCTGCCTCATCCCGTCATGAGCGCTCGCATGAATGAGCTCGTCATATATGAAAATGTCGCCAGGCTGTGGCAAGCAGCTCAGAAGCCCGACCTGAGCATCAAAGCCGGAGTTGAAGAGCAGCCCTGCAGGTGCGCCATGGAATGTAGCAATATCACGCTCAATTAACTCGGCAAATGTTGAATTTCCATCTAGAAGACGAGAGCCACCAGAGCCGAGAAAAGTAGACGAAGTGACAGAAGATGGTTGTGAGGTATTTGCCTGCACAAGATCGAGGAAGGATTTTCGTAGTTCTGGGACATCTGAGAGGGACAGGTAAGAATTGGACGAAAAGTCTATGTTGTCAGAAGGGTTGATTGTCAACCGCCGCAGTCGAGATTGTGACTCCCGTTTAGCAAGCTTGGCAGCCAGAGCCTGTTCCAGCCCGGAGGGTGGTTTGGTGTCCATGAGCAACCGGTTGGCATCAAACTCCTAGACAGGAATATGAGAGAGAATTCCAGGGGAATGAGCTGAAATTAAAACTGACGAGATCCTGCCGGTAGGAGCCGATAACCGGATGGCGGACCGAACGCGGGGTTTGAGAAAAGCTAGGTTAGCGGATGGCAATGTCACTCCGCGACGATCCCTGCCAGGGGTGATGAAAATGTTGAGGGCTTTTTTCTTCTTGCCGAATGAAACAGAAGCAAGCTCCTTGGAAGCCTCCCTTTTCTCTTTCTTCGTCTTTCTTGAACACGAATCATCTTGAGCAATCTCCAACCTTGAGCAATGGCACCCATCCAGTCTCTGCTCTGGCGACGACTACGGATTCACCAAATATACGGCGCAAACACGGACGTAGGGAAGACCATCTTCTCCACCTTCCTCTGCAATGCCGCGTCTAACCATCGAGGTGGTGCCGACAGGGTGGCTTACCTGAAGCCTGTCTCAACGGGACCAGGGGATGAAGCAGACTCCAAGTGTGTGTAACACTCCAAACAACTAGCAATTCAATGAAGAGAACTCTTGCTTATTAATATCTAGATGATTGAAACCTCAATTGGCATTTCAAAGACATTATTAACAGAAGTGATCGTTTTGTAGCCACATCAAGAGATTCGCGCCCTCCACCAGCACCGAGGTTCTTTATCAGTATGACATTCCCTGCAGCCCCCACACGGCCGCAATTGCGTCGGGAAGAGTAAGTGGGCTTTTAGGGGAATTGAATCAAGACATGTTCTATTGAGTGCTTACAAACATAGCCAATTCCATCCGACCATGCCCTGCTGCGCAAGATTCAAGAAGCAGCCGCGCGGGAGGCTGGGCTGGGGCCTGGCTGGCTATTCCTCGAGACTGCTGGTGGTGTTCACTCGCCGGGCCCTTCTGGCACCTCACAGGCCGAGCTGTATGCTCCTCTTCGGAGTCCGGTCCTCTTGGTTGGTGATTCCAGGCTGGGAGGCATCTCTCAGACCATTTCCTCGTACGAGTCCTTGAAGATTCGCGGCTATGACGTGGCAAGTGTGCTGCTATTCGAGAATGATCAGTATAACAATGATGGATACTTGGAAGAGTACTTTGATAACCAAGGCAAGATTCCTGTCACAACGATCCCTGAGCCGCCTACCAAGCACAGTAACCAGGATGAGGATGTCGCAGCTCTAGCTGCCTACTACAGCCACACAGTCTCCTCCAGCAAGATCGGTAAAGTTGTTGAGGTTCTAGACAAGCGTGCCGAAGACCGTATCTCGCAGCTCGAATCAATGAGCGAGCGGGCCTTCAAGACCATATGGTACCCTTTCACTCAGCAAAAGCTTCTATCTCCTAGCTCCATCTCTACTATTGACTCTGCTCATGGAGACCACTTCCAGATCTACAAGTCTCAAGGCGCAGCAAAATCATCTGATAAGCCACTTATCCAGCCTGCCTTTGACGGATCTGCCTCGTGGTGGACGCAAGGCTTAGGTCATGCAAGCTCACAGTTGACGCTGGCCGCCGCCTACGCAGCCGGTCGCTATGGGCACGTCATGTTTGCCGAGGCAGTTCACGAGCCAGCCATTACCCTGGCTGAGAACTTGTTGCGCGGCATGCAGAATCCTCGACTCACGCGCGCCTTCTATACCGACAACGGAAGCACGGGCTGCGAGGTCGCCATCAAGATGGCATTGCGCGCCAGCCGTGACAGGTACGGGTGGGATGTGAAAGACAAGATTGAGATCCTCGGCCTCAAGGGGAGCTACCATGGTGACACAATCGGGGCCATGGACGCCAGCGAGCCTTGCACATTCAACGAGAAAGTGGACTGGTACCAGGGCAAGGGCTACTGGTTTGACTATCCTACCGTCAACTGCACCAATGGTAAATGGGTCGTACATGTTCCCGAGGCTCTTCGTGAGCACTTGGGAGGCGGTGAAGAATTCGAGGCTCTGTCCCATGTCTTTGATGTTTCGTCCAGGTCTGAAAGTGCCGTGCTGGATAGGTACGAAACCTATGTTCAGCTTGTGCTCGAGCAACTCGGTAAACAAGGCCGTAAATTCGGTGGTCTCATGATGGAACCTGTTATCCTTGGCGCCGGCGGAATGATCTTTGTGTAAGTGATATTTTCCCTCCATCCACTCAGCCCACTAACACCTCTCATAGCGATCCTCTGTTCCAGCGGGCACTCGTGAATGCAGTACGCAAATCCGCACACCTCATTGGCAATGCCCATGTTCAACCCACTGGTGAGAACGACTGGTCCGGCTTGCCCGTAATCCACGATGAAGTGTTCACTGGCTTGTACCGCCTGGGGCGATTCACGCCGTCGTCTTTCCTGGGTGTTCACCCGGATATCACAGTCCATGCCAAGCTTCTAACCGGCGGTCTTCTACCTCTTTGCCTGACATTGGCATCAGACTCAATCTTCAAGACCTTTGAATCCGATGACAAAAGCGATGCTCTCCTCCACGGGCATAGTTACACTGCCCATGCTATTGGATGCAACGTCGCCGTTGAAACTCTCAACGAGCTGCAAACCATGGATTCGAGAGGTGACTGGAACTGGGCCAGAAATAGCAACTGGAAGGAAGACCCTGTTCCAGATTCATCCCAGGTCAATGCAGCTCTTCCAGAAGCATGGTCCGTCTGGTCTCGAGATTTTGTAACCGAGGTCTCGAAGAGGACAGAAAAAGTGTCTGGCGTCTGGGCTCTTGGGAGCGTGCTCGCCATCACTATGTGCGATGCCGATGGGGGTGGATACAAGAGTAGGGCGGCTACTGATTTCCAAGCAGCACTGAAGCAAGGTGAGGCGTGGAGTGTTCACAGCCGTGTTCTGGGGAATGTGTTTTATATCATGGCGAGCCAGAAGACTAGCCAGGAGACAGTTGAGGAGATGGAGAGAAAGCTGCTCTATTGCTTGGAGAAAATATAATCTATTTGTAGTGAGAAAGCACTACTTGAAGGCTATTAGATCTAAATATAAAAACGTTTGAAGGAAGAACAACATTGATTTTCTTGGATATGCTATGTCATTCAACCAGTGTGGCCCTTCATGATGCCATCGGCTTCATCGGATACTTCTTAACGAGGTACAAGCCAACCAACGTCAGCACAATTTCAAGCCCAAAGAACATGGTCGCCATCTCATATCCGATCGGAAAGTGAGGCGCCTTGCCAGTGTCATAGATCAAGAGCGGGACCCAGGCCTGGAATGTGAAGGCAGCTGTCTCGACAACGCCAATGACAATGGCTCGATGCTCGGCCGAGTAAGACAGAACTTCGTTGATCCAGGTGATGATGAGCGCCCCTGCTCCAGTCTCGACAAATGTCAGTAGCCAGCCAGTCATCATGGCGGGAATGTTTCCAGCCGGCCACAAAGACAGGATGATGGTTCCAATCATAGAGAAGATGCATGCCACAATGATCAAGGGCCAGCGCATCTGGATGGCATCCGAAATCCATGCGTACGACAGCGTAAAGCAGATTTGGAGCCCGTACCCAGCACTCGGGATGAGATTAATCTCCTCCACAGACCAGCGCTTTGTATCCTTCAGCCACAGGTTGAAGTAGGAATAAATGCGGATACCCAGGACGTGGCAAATGAAGATGGAGCAGAAGAGATAGACGGGCCATGTTGAGAAAATGCGCTTCCAGATAGGCAAGGTCAGCTTCTTCATGGGCGCCCGGCCAACATGTTCCATTCTAGAAACGGCCATCTTCTTATCCTCCTCCTTGAGCCACACAGCTTTGGACGATTGCGGCGTGTCTGGGATCGCCCAGTATCCGTAGATGGCAACGGGAACCCCAATGATGCAGTCGAAGATGAACAGCCACTGCCACGCTTTGAGGCCGCTGCGTCCATCCATGCCGGCGTACAGAGCAGCTTGTAGATATCCTGAAAACATCTGAGCCGCGGACGAAGAAGCCTGGAAAATGCACGCGCGCTTCCCAAGCTCCCTAGGTGTATACCAATTACCAAGCAAGGTCATGATTCCCGGGTACGCGGTAGCTTCGAGTAGCCCAATGAAGAATCGCAGGACGCAGAGTGTCTTGACATCTTTGGCACCAGCCATTCCAGCAACAAGGAAGCCCCAGGCCAGTTCTGCCGAAGGGAGCCATATTGACGGACGGACCTTGGTGATGATGATCTGAGACGGGAGCTGGCCAACGATATAGCCGATATTCCAGAATGTGAGGAGTAGATTGAGATCGTTGCCCGTCATATTGAGGTCTTCCTTCATACCCGAAACGTACGCATTGCTAACCTATAAGAAAGAACTCTGTTAGGATATTTCCCAAGCCTAAGACGCTGGGATCGTCACTCACGTTGGTCTGGTCGAGGTACTTGACAAAGTAGGCGACACAGCAGTATGTCAAAATCCACCAATCAATCTTGGCCATAAACTTGCGTTCCTCGGGAGGCTTGTCAAAGGAGTCCCAGATGATACCTAGGAGCCGTTTCTTTCGAGGGAGCCGTTGGCTGTGCTCCAACGTAGTCGAGCTCGCAGCCTCATCTACAACGGTCCCATCCTTGTGGTTCAACGGCGGGTCCCGGCCGACAACGAAATTGCTGTTTGTCGCCATCTTGCTTGATTCTCAGCCGATGTTTGGAAGGGTTTGCTGGATCAATCCAGGTAAGCGAAGCGAGAAGACTGGCCTCGGACCCAATGCCTAATAACGTTTTCGAAAAGTGAACTTCTGGCCGTTTTAAACCCATTAGCTCATGATAGTCGATTCAAACGTTTCGCCAGGGAACTTCTTCGCAATCGACTAGGGCGATGGCGAATCTCGTCACTAGCCAATAATCTTCACGGATGTAAGCACTTGTCGGAGCAACTCCGACACGTCGGAAGCCGTTATCTTGCTGTTTTCTCCTCTTTCAGTAAGTTTTGTCGGATGGTTGGCCGATGTCAAGGTTCAAATAGCCCGATTTGATGACAAAGTGCTCGAGTCGTGATCTCTCTCATCCTCATATAAGTGGCGAGTGAAATATGGCGGGATAACCTGTCGCAGTGAGCCCGATTCTCGCTCCGACATCACCAGTCGGGTTTTTCTTTCCAGACATCGTTCGGGTTTTTTGTAGACAATTTTGCAAATACCAGCCTAAGAACCGTCTCTCAAGCCCAACATGCCAACTGAAACAGAGGCCTTGGACATTTACAAGTCCTCCATCCACTTCGATGGCCTCAACATAGCCAACTTCTCCCGCGACATCTTCGAGGCCTGGCATGCCGGCGGCATCACCGGTGTGTCTTGTACCTGCGGGCTCTGGGAGGGTCTCAGGGGGAGCCTTGCCAATGTCGTCCAGTGGAAGGAATGGTTCGAGGAGCACTCTGACCTGATCGTGCAGGCGCACACTGTCGCCGACATCCGCCGTGCCAAAGAGTCAGGCCGCACCGCCGTATTGCTCAGCTGGCAGAACACAGCGGGCATCGAGGACCAGCTGTCCTACCTGCGCGTCTTCCGCGATCTGGGTGTCCGCAAGATGCAGCTGACGTACAACACGCAAAACTACAGCGGCGCCGGGTACACGGAGCTGAGGGACTCTGGGCTGACCGGGTTCGGAAGACAGGTGGTGGATGAGATGGCCAAGCTCGGGATTGTCTGCGATCTCAGCCATGTCGGACCTCAAACCAGTGAAGATGTCATCAACTATGCTCCAGAGGGCAAGCCACCGTGTTTCTCGCACGTGCTTCCGGGAGGACTGAAGGAGCATCCGCGGAACAAGGACGACCGCTTGATCAAGCTGATCGCCTCCAAGGGTGGTTTCATCGGCCTCAGCCAGTTTGGTCCGCACATGGCAAAGGGCAACGACAGCACCATCGACGACTATGTAGATGCCCTCGACTATGTCATCGGCCTCGCGGGAGAGGATCTCGTCGGCATCGGCTCCGACGCGAGCGAGGGCCACGGACGTCCGAGCGACTTCATGGCATGGTGTAACAAGGACAAGGGGTATGCGAGGCAGCTCACCCCATGGGGGAGCCAGAAGGTTGTGAAGCCTCTCGGTCCGCTGGCCGACCGGGCCCAACTGGCTGTCGCGATGGCAAGGAAGGGGTGGAGTGAGGAGAAGATGAGAAAGGTGCTGGGTGAGAATTGGTTGAAATATCTCGAGAGAATTCTAGGAGAATAAAAAACCAGAAACTGTCATCGTCAATCAAAACTGCGCATCTTGAAAAGCTAAAGCTGCATTAAGTCTGAATTCTTCCAAAAGGAAGGTGTATTGAGTCTATAAAGACCAGACCTAGACAGCAACCCCCCTCCTTGCTATATAGAAGAAAGGTCATATGATGCTATGCCACTTGAACGTTGAGACTTCTTCTTCCACTTCTTGATGATAATCTCGGCAGCCTAAGGGTTTGTTAGCAACTATGGCTTCCTCGAAGAAAGAAGCAAACGGTAGACAGTAATGACTGACCTTCTCGCCAATGGCATATGCCGTCGTGGTAGTATGTGCGGCAGGGATGGTGGGAATGATCGAGCAGTCGGCAACACGGAGACCAGAGATGCCGTAGACTGAGAGACCCGAGTCCACGACGCCGCCCTTCTCACGTGGGAGCATGGCTGCCGTGCAGCAGGGGTGCATGAGTGACTGGACGACGTTGTCCTTGACGTACTCAATAAGAGCGTCGTGAGCAGTCACATTAGCGCCGGGCGCGACCTCGACAGCACCGAGCTCCTGCCACGTATTAGTAGCGTAGATACGGCGGAAGTAGTCGACGTAGGTGACCATGATCTCGAGGTCGATTGGGTTTGCGCCGGTGGCATAGTTGACGATGGGGGTAGCATCGTGGTCATCCGAGTTCAAGACAACGGAGCCACGGCTGAGAGGCTTGAGGAGGAAGGCGATTGCAGGGCCGGTATGGAAGGGCATCTCAAGGATGGGGTGCTCAGAGTGCTCGAGAGCCTGGGCGATGATCTCGAGCTGCGCGAGGTAGCCCTCCTGAACAGACTCGGCAGCCGTGGGGGTGAGATATCCAAGAGCAGAGCGGTCGTCGATCTGGGCGCGGATATCAGCAACGATTTGCTTCCACTGGGGGTTGACGTGCTTCAGGGCGACGTAGGCAGCGCTGTTACCCATGGCGAGAGTGTAAGGACCGCGGGCAGGGCGCTCACGGAACTGCGCGACAGCCTCGGCAGCGTAAGTTGCGTTGTTTGTGATGTCGCCCTCCCTGGGGGAAGGTTCGTCATAAGACCAGGCTAGGGGAGTGCCGCAGTGATCCTGGAAATTCTGGCCAACACCAGGAAGGTCCTCAACTGGATCAATGCCTTCGGACTTGAGGTACTCGGCAGAAGCTACACCACTGCGCTGGAGGATCTGGGGCGTGTGGATGGCACCGGCCGACAATATTACTTCATGCTTGGGACGGATGGTCTGGACCTCGCCGCCAGCAACGGGTCGAAACTGGACAGTGGGCGGTGCATCATTGTCCCTGTCGATAATGAGGCGCGTAACCTTGTGCTCAACGAGGAGGTGGAGGTTGGGGAGGGAATCAACGACCCTAGTATAGTGACCGACACCAGCGTGGGATCGCTCGACGGTTTCAGAGTTCTGGGCCGTGGGAACCCAGCAGGTACCATGCTTGTTCCCATTATCACAGCTGACGGGGGTATCGAGGCCGAGCTCCTCGTAGGCCTTCCACCCAACGTCTGAGAAGAAGGTTAGTGTGTGTGGTATTTCCAACGGCAGTGAGGCTGTCATATATCTGAAAGGGGAGTGACATACTTTGGACAGGCCACTGGAAGGGCGGGAAAGAGGCCTGAATGGAGTCACCGGGATAATAGGAGGCATCCCAAGTGTAACCGTACTGTCCTGCAAGCTCGTCGCTAGGCCCGGTAAGGAACAAGGACTAACAGATTGAAGTTAGAATGAGGATCTGCATTGGCAAGGGGTTTCTGCGCGAGGATAGCCAAGGGATAGCACTCGCCTTGCCGAAAGCGGGCCCAAAGTTCTCCCAGTCCCAGATGTCAGTGGTGTTATCAAACTCGGGACTCCCAAGTCGCGTCCACTCGTCATAGTCGTACCTGGAGCCACGATCCAAGAACTGCCCATTAACGGCGGATCCCCCACCAACAGTCATGCCTAGCATGACGGTAGCAGAGCGGTTGTTAACACTGGCAACGGGAGGGGAGTTTATGACGAGGCGGCTGGCACCACGCCCATCCTCGGGCGGGTCGAAGTAGCCAACAGTCCCCTCAATCTTGCCATACTCGATCACCAGTATGGACTCTATCACCGCATGTGAATACGCTAGAACTGGTCTATTATTTCCAATGGGGCATTCACAAACTCACTCTGAGGAAAGGCGGCCGAAACTCGGTGGGCAACAGTCAGACCAGCGGTACCACCACCAACGACAACAAAGTCATACTCCTCCGAGCTGGCGGCATGCCTCTTGGTAAACGCGCGAGCACGGCTAGTAGAGGCTTCGACAACACTGAGAATGGACGCACCAACACAGAAAGCCTTGGTGAGATACATCTTTTAATAAGAGCAACGGTGATATGTGTGTTATGTGGAGAGAAGACCCCTAATACACAAGGATGCTAAATGATGGTTTCCCTCAATGGAACAGTATCAAAGCACCTGCCTAATTCGAAAATCAGCTGATTCTTTTCGCTATGGAAGAGAGCCTCCGAAAAGCTCTCTTCTCCTGATTATAGGCTAAATACTTAATTAAACTCATTCCAAATGGGAGGCCCACCTCATAATGTAGCAGCGAAGATGTCTGACAGCAGAGAATGAAGTAGTAGAAGTCTTGTCTGCTAATTTTTAGTGCCACTAGTCTACTCGTTATATGACGCGTAGGAGAAAGAGGACAAAGTTTAACAACGACGAAGCTGCCAAGGCCCGACCAACTCAACGCAGTGAATAACTCGTTGTATGACATTTTCTAGAATTAGTTGGGAACTTCTTGTCAAACCAAACACACCGAACTGGATATATTTGGAAGTATGGTTGGAAATATGCGAGTCTGCTTATTACTTAGAACGAATCTTCAAATTAAACTAATTACCACTCTTCATCCTTTCGTTGTTTTGTCGAAACCACGGGCCCTTTCCACAATGGAGGCTGACTCCCGTGTGTATGATCACTGTGTTCATCCGGGTTGGACTGCAGCTCTACACCATCGTCGCGCATGAAGGTGGTAAGACTGAATGGGCCCCTCCGCGATCTCTTGGATGACGAGAATTGGCCGATGGTGGCAGGCGGCGATTGAACTGGGTCCACGAGTTCCGTGGGGCCGGACCACGAGATCCCAAGCGAATTCCCGATTGTTCGTAGAAGGGGACGAAGGGTGGCGAGACTTCCTGCTGTGATGGCGAGGCCCTGCTCGGTAGTGGACCAGATTGCAATGTCGAGAGTGGCCCCTTATGTCTGTTAGCCTTGAAAGGAATGTGAACGAGGGATAGCCTTACAGAGAAAGTCTGGGTTTTTGAAATCTTTGATGTAAGGAAATCGAACGAGGACGGCGGCACTGGCTCTGTATGGCTGTCAATATACGGCCCATTCCTTAAGCCCTTGCTGGAGTGACTTACACGCATCCCATGGCCATGATAGGGAATAGGGCGAATTTCGTTCTCTTGTTCATGTTGAGCTTCCAGATAATGAACATAGGGAGGAAGGCAAAGGTAAAGTCACAGATGACGCTGAGAACGCTGTAAAGATATGTGAGGGCCATGATAACCTCGGGGTCGACACACGTGCCCCCCGAGATATTCTTGTCCCAGAAATACCACACGGGGTTGCATTGAAAGAGCGTGACGAAGAAGAAGACGGCGCCGGTCATGACGGTAATAACCATGACAATGTAGATGATCCAGACGTGTAATCGCCGAAGGGTGATGCGAAGCAGAAAGCTGCCGATGGATAATTTCGATGCCATCATTGAGAGGCAGTACCATAGATAGCATAGCCACCAATACTTTTCTCGTTCGTTAGGGAGATTCTTTCTAGAGGAGACGGAGATTGACAAACTTTGAGCGCAATTTCAATTTCATGTGGCTGTAGGTCTTTGTGATGTCGCCCAGTGCCAAAGGCAACGCCTACCAACGCACATCCAACAAACAATCCAAAGTTTATCTAGGTTACAGTCAATTGGAGTTGGGGGTTAGATTTGAAGTCAAAGAAGAACTTACAAGAGCGAACAGCATACACCAATCATCAAATCCAAAACTCTTTACCATAAATAATCGCACATAGCATCGTAAAAGGGTTGAAAAGATTGCAAAGGAAACGAGCGTGATGCCCACTGCCTGCAGCTCGGGGCCTCGATTTTCGACTACCATGGCTATCTGCGGTGTCCCTATGTGGAGGCCGGTAAAGTCGACATGAAGACGGGAGGTCTTTGATCTTCGCGGGAGCGTCTGCGATTTATTAAAGAGCGTGGCATGATTTACGTTTGCCTTGGAGACATGGGTGGTCTAGCCCCCTCGCCCCCCCCTTGCCCAAGCCTCCTACGACATAAAGAGACGAGATGAATCCACAACACCATCACAGAAGGCTCCGCCTTGCGTTGGAGCCTAACATTCCGTGCGAATGTGGTTGGTGGTGACCTCGGTGAATGAAGTTCGCTTGCCGTCAAGACTCCACCAGAAAAACCGCCATGTAACTGTCGGAAGGGGCCAATATCTCGTTGTGGATGCCAACTTCTCCACCCCAACGTACCGTCAACGAATGATGTTCGGCAGCTAATTTGGCAAGACGCTTGCACCGTCGACTGGTTCAGGTTGGTACCTGGCAACGCGGGGAATTTATGCCCAAGCCGTGTGAGCCATGTGTGCAGATCTGTCCCTATCGATCCAGGGAAGGGCCGATCCCATCACTCTGGGTAGGAATTGCAACCATGTATGCGCATCTAGATGACTCGCCAATGATCGGGCCTGTCGAGTCAGGGCATGATGATGGCAACTTGGGCGTACCAACGATACGAGACGATGGCAAGATGGTTCGATTCCGCAAAGAATGACAGACTAGGGAACGACTGCTGTTTCTTGACTGTAGTCTGCGCCAACTGAGACAGCCACGGTCGATGATTGAGGCCAAACCATGCCGCATGTAGTCATTTCCCCGTCCCAATCTGGCAGACAGACTCACTAGCCGGGAGTGACCCTTCGTTTCCGCGCCGAGGTCTCCACGTTGCCAGTGCCACGCCCCCGGTGCATCCGCTAATGCTTCATGTGACAATCTCAGACATTCCCCTTGAGAAGCAACACATCCATCGGGGCTTTCTTTCCGTGCTCGACGTTCCAGTGACCTAATTTTGCCGGACTCTCCTGAGCTTGCACACTTTCTGGCCGTGACCAGCAATAAAGTTCAGCAAATTCCAGCCCCTTGCCATTGCATTAGCTCCGGCTCTTGGGTCCGGCTTGTTAGTTCCATTCCAATCTCCACCGAATGCCGAATATGCCCAGTGTTGGGTTTAGACGATGCTGATCGAAAAGATGCAGGCTAAATGCCGGCAATTGGGACTAACCAGCGTGTTGGTAGCAAGTGGATGAGCAGGGGAAACCAACTTGGCACGCAAGGGTCAGTGACATGCTTTTTTTTCAGCTAATTCATCTCGTCTGCAGGTCCAAGGCGTAGTCATTCGGTGGCGGGCAGGGATCCCCTCCGGAATTTGTTACCAAATCGCTCACATGGAACTCGGTTTCTCGTAGATGGTGGGAGATGGTCGTACAGTCTGAGCCGGATTTGGCGGAATTGCCCCCCCGGGTTGATCTGCGGTGTGGTGCTCCAATGGACTGGTTATGATGGTACTTGGCATCATTTTCAATGTCGCCAAGGCCAATCTTTACCCCGTGTGATGGAACAAAATTCCAGTGGATATTTGTTTTCTTGGTGGGGGTCACATGATCATTCACGTGGTATGGTTAATCTACCCTATAGCTATACGCGAACATTGAAGTCATGCACTCTATGTAATGATAAATATATCTAAATATATAGGTAAAAACTAACGATTTGAGAAAGTTGAAGGGAAACAGCAAGTCAAATTAGCATTGCTGCTTCTTCGTATGGCTAGCCTTAGAATGCACCCAGTCTTTGCACTTCAGATAGGAAAGCGGAAGTTTTATGAGGACGCAATTCTTGCTCACCCACTTGCAAACACATCACAGCGTGATAGTCTAGTTTGGTTTTAGGTCATTTATTTCCATAATTGATATCAACACCTATTACTACTTCTGAATAACGCACATAGGACGATAGGTAGGGTGATCGAGGAGCACAGTCAAGTGTCAGATCAAGCTAGTAAGTAGTATGCAAATAAAAAAATTGATCTATTATGATCCTGACATACCATAATACTAGGAACGAAGCAGGCTCGGTATTTTGACAGTCTAGGGCCTAGCAATCTGCAGAAGGGCTAGGATCTGTCTGTGAGGAGTTGGCAACGCTCGACAATAATGGTGTGTGGCATGATCCAAGTTGATTCGTCGTATGGACAGGAGACGAAGTAATCAACAGTCAATGATGCTATCAATTATAAAAGTCTGTAGTGAATTGCAGAAGTAAGGCATAAAGGATATAGGCACTATTCGTCTTTGCGGAGTCCAGATGTTGAAAATAAAGAGCTTAGAGACCCCAAGGTCAAGGGATAGTTGTGCTTCAAGTTAAAAGAATTCTCCGCCTAGCTTATCCCCACGAAGTGCATGCCACCACTGACTTTGCTTGAACAGCTCGCCATCCTTCCCACCGATGAGAAACCACCATTTCTTCATGAACCATGTCTGTGCCTCCCAGCTTCTAATATCCCATGGTGCTCCGGATCCAATGGGCGAGCCTTCGCGCGACCTCACCTGGGATCCCCAGCAGATGAGGCCATCGTGCTCAATGTCCTTGCACAAGTCGTCTTCGTCAATCATTGGTGGCTCAACAGAGATGGCTTGTATCACACGCTGTCGGAATGTCGGGGATGGAATGAGGTCGATGTAAGGGTGATGTACATGCCGGACCTGTGATATAGTTGGCTGCAAGTCAGCCGTCAGGTGGTGAAACTTTGTCCGCACAACCGTCTCGGTGAGATCCGGAGTCGCAGATGCAGTGTAGAACGGAGAGATGGTTTCTTCGATGATCAAGTCGTCAAAGTTGATGTTTAGGGCCTCGGCATTGGCACGCAGAGCGGCCACTGTAGAAAACAGCTTTATGTGCAGGTGATTGGCGTACGCATCGGGTAGTGATAGGGATTGCGCATGTATGCCGTTATTTGGCACTAGGATCCTATCCGTGCGTACTCTTTGGGCTGTAGTCCTTGGTACGTGCTGCTGGAGCACATCCAGCCCGGCTTTGATGATGTCTTGAATGGTAATGTTGGACTCGTCCATCCGTGTCTTCACCCACTCCAATTTTTCGGGTTCTATCGTGGCAGCCAATATTTTCATGGCGTCGGCATCGTTAATGCCGATGTTAGTGGGAGGCGATGGGGATCCCTGCCCAGCTGTCCCCCAGGTGGGCTGCTGCGTGATGCTATGGGACTGTGAAGTGTCTGATGATGCGTAGGCCGACTCTGTGGCTTGACCGAGATCAGCAGGTCCAGCCCTAGCGGATAAGAGGTTCTCGAGAGCCTCTAGGCGTCGCTTCTGTTTCTCTCCTGTATCTGGTCAGCTCCGAAAGAACCGTCATGAATGGACTACATACTGTAACTCTTTTGCGCCCGCAGATTCTGCTGCCTTCTCCGCTCCGAGATTGGCTTGGTAGAAACCATGTCGCTCAATGATGCCCGTCGGTAGACAGCTAGCCAACGTAGTGGATTTGGGGAATGAAATGCTCAACACATCAGTGAGTAGATTTGCATAAGTCAAAGATGTATGCGGGATCTATGATGCTCAACACATCAGTCAAGAGTTCCCCAATGATCCTTGTCCATATGTGCCCCTCTTATGTCAGATGCTCAACACATCAGCCCGGAGTTGTCGGAAAGAGTCGTCACTATCTTATTATAGCATGCAGTCTAACCAATCAGGAGGCTCATTTGTAGCTTTGCAAGCTCAGCCCAGCCCCACATCCATGAGATGTAGATCCTTGCCTTGTAAGAATGCTATGCTCATGATTTCCAGCCTCAGAGAGAATGAGAACATGCTCTATTAGTTGAATTTCTATAAAAGCCATGGATGGACTTGTGCTTGTTGCAATTGATTTTCTAAACATCTCTATGAACTTTATCTTCTCTCAATTTGACCAACTACATATTAGAGCCAACCACCACGAGTGCTACAGTCACAATGGAGTATTCAAGGTAGGCCCTCATCTTATACTAATAATGATCCTAAAGTAGGCTAAAAACACCAAGGCTTGGGAAGTCTGGACTCAAGATTTCCAATATCGTTTTTGGAACTATGTCGCTGGGTCGTCCAAATGATCAAATGCCTTGGACTATTGACGCAGAGCAAGCGTTGCCCATCCTCAAGCATGCATTCGATCGAGGCATCAACACATGGGATACCGTAAATTGCTTCGCTTCATCACGACTTTCATGAGTTTCACAAGCTGATTGAAGTTAGGCTGATATCTATTCATACGGCGACTCGGAACGCATAGTCGGGCAAGCGCTTAAGACGTACAAGATCCCTCGCGAACGAGTCGTCATTCTATCCAAATGCTATGGAGGTACTCCTTTTGAAGGGGAGTTTGATGACCTTTCGGAACAGGAACGACTGGTTCTGATGACACAGAATACCGGACGAATGGTTAATCGCATCGGGCTGTCTCGGAAGCACATCTTTGATGCGGTAGATGCGAGTGTAGAGCGTCTAGGGACGTACTTGGATGTTCTCCAGATCCATCGCCTTGATCGCGAAGCTCCACGCGAGGAGATAATGAAAGCTCTAAATGATGTTGTTGAGAGTGGAAAAGCGCGCTACATTGGCGCAAGCTCGGTAAGATTCCCACTCCCATCCTTTTCAGAGGAGATTTAACCCCAAGTAGATGCACGCCTGGGAGTTCCAAGCCCTGAACAACATTGCTGAGAAGAATGGCTGGCACAAGTTCATTAGCATGCAGGATTATCACAGTCTGTTGCACCGCGAGGAGGAGCGCGAGATGCATCCCTATTGCCGCGATGCCGGTATTGGCATAATCCCCTGGTCTCCTCTGGCCCGCGGCCTCTTGGCAAGACCATTAAAACCTGATGCAGCCAAGACAGAACGCCAGAAGACTGATTACTACGCCCAACTTCTAATAGGCCCTACCACGGAGGAAGATATTTTGACTATTCGTCGCGTGGAAGAGCTAGCTAAGAAACATGGCTGCACCATGGCGCAGGTCAGCCTGGCATGGTCGCTGAAGAAGGGAGTGAATCCAATTGTTGGATTTACTAGTACTGAGAGGGTTGATGAGGCTGTAGAAGCTGTGAAACTACTCAAGGATGGTCTCCTGGATGACGGCGATATGTTGTATCTAGAAGAGCTGTATATTCCCAAAGCCGTGCTGGATAGTGCATGGTAGAGAGCTTCGCTGTGATTTTGAGCCTTGAAACTATCTTACATATTTCTTTCACTGATTCTTATTTAATCCGGTGCTACATAGGGTGAAAGAGTTTAAGTAGCTTGGCTTACAGTAAAAAAATAGCAATAGAGGGTACTCATGGCTCAAGTGAATATATACTCAATAATTTTGTTCTAGTCCCATTCAAGACGTTAAAAGCATAGCTATACTATATTACTCTAATACGGAAGAGAAAGAGAATAAAGTTCAACAACAATGAAGCTGCCAGGACCCGACAACTCAGATTGTTGAATCACTTTGAAATATACCATAATGAAACGATATAGAGGATATATAATCATCCTTGGTACAAATTCTGCCACATACCTATCAGGCACTGATTCGCTCTGTGATGAAACGTAGGGCCTGCAATAGCTATCATGGAAGGGATGTTAAGTCAGTATGTCAAATTGGTGAAATGTGAAAGTCATTACTTACTTTTTCATCTTCGAAACGGCGAGCAACAAGTTGGAGAGAAATCGGGGCGTCTTTGTACCAATCTGGTTTATCTGATTACCGATTATTGGTTAGCTTTTTAAGAAGGGCATTGCTTATTAGTTTTAGAGTAAGAACGTACAGAGTTTGTGGGTTTCAAGGTCTATATCTCCTTTGTGAAGGAAATCGACATCGATAGGATCAAGGGTGGGATCAACAGTCGTGACCGGGAATGAAACACCAGGATAATCCAGAAGATTGAATAGAAGGCTGTAATTCCAGTATTTGGATTCATCCAGTTTCGCCGGTGGGCCAATGTAGAGAGGAGTTAGGAGAACATCGATTGGATGTGAGTCCACCGCACCGGTCTTGTGCCAGGCGTGTGCAAACTTTCCCCGGAACTCGTCCCGCTTGGCCGTCCAGTCCCAAACTTCCTGTAGCGATCGTTTCGCTTTGTGTGGGTTATGTTTGAATATCCATTCAGTAAGCGGTCTCAACTCCTCCTTGCCATCATCGAGCAGATTCAGCATTACCTCACCATTATCGGCAAAGATTAGAGTTGACTAATCAGAGTCGAAGAAGAAAACATCAGCCTGGGAAAACCCACATAAGACCCGCCATTAAATTATACACATACCCAAATTTCGTAGGCATCTTTCATGGAGAACTCGGCCCAATCGACGATTTCTATATCTGGATCCTTCCGGAGCTTCTCAACCGTTTCGCGCATTGCACGACGAACAGGAGGGTGAGGGGTAACAAGACCGTCGTCCCACATGATACCGACTTTGAGTTTCCTCGAGCCGGCGCTTCCCCGCAGCAGCCAGTCAACACCATCACGCCACTCTATTGGCGGGAGCGACGGATCAACTTCCCACATCTTGCTGTTAATTACTGTTTTCATCAGCATCTCCAGACCACCTATGCTGGTCGACATTGGGCCAATGACGGAAGGAATCTGCTCCCTCCCACCCGCGATGCCGGTTAAGCCAAGATGGCTCAACCGCGTTGAGGTCGGCTTCAGCCCATAGATTCCAGTGTGACCAGCTGGGACCCTGATACTGCCGCCTGTGTCTGATCCGAACCCTAATGGACTACCGCGCAGAGCAATTAAGGCGCTCTCCCCACCAGAGCTTCCCCCCGGTGTGAGCATAGTGTTGTAAGGGTTGGTAGTCACTCCGTAAATCGTGGACGATGTTTCAAGGTGCATCTGGGGTACTCATTTTAGCATAGTGATTGATAGCTTGGATAATCCTTGAATTTTTCTTTTTGGAAAGGCTCACCAATGTTTGGGGTTGGGTTGTTCTCGCGAATGGAATCGCGCCAGCGTCACACATGGCTTTAAGTGCCAGGCCATCTGTATCCACGATCGTGCCAATACGCGCGACAAACGAGAAATTAACTTCCCACCCTTTCAATGATATGTGCTCTTTGACACTGATGGGAAGACCATGTAAAGGACCAATTGTCCGCCCATGCTCCTTGTAGTAGTTATCAAGCCATTTTGCTCGCTTCAGGGCGGCTTGTGGGAGCAGCTCTGTGACGCAGTTCACCTATGAGCAAAAGAAAGTTGAGTTCAAGACGGGTTTTCAAACAGCACGAATTGAAGGAGCAAGCAAAGGTAGACATACCAGACGTTGTGCAAGAGCGGCCCTTCTCAGAAAGGCCTCTATGACCTCAACAGCTGAGAAGTGTCCATTTGCCAGAAGCTCAACCAGGCCCTCGGGAGTCTTCTCTGTGATCTCGCACTCGCGCGCCGTCAAAATCCCACGCGGCAGGCTTGTCACATTGAGTGGAAGGTCCTTTGGTAGATCAGGCAGCGGCGGTTCCACTGCAAGAGAGATGTCGCGACGACGACGGGCTTCTTGAATTGGATCCCTTGGGTCATCTGCATGTATCTGGAGGGCAGACATTTTTCTTGACAAAGTATATATCGTGGATGAGATTTTCGTTGATGGCGTCAGATCTTCGAAGCTGGACGAGTTATATAGCTGTTGCGCATTTTCTTCCCTATCGATGTTTGGGCAACTTGTCCCACACAATATCGCGTCATCTCCATGCTTATCGACGGCGGATGCGCGCTTCCACCAAGGAGAACTGCAGTATCCATCATCGGGATTTCCAGAACCCCGGATCTAGTACTCTCCGGGGCCAAGTCATTTTCACGACCTTATCGAGATGGGGAAATCTGCATTTCTTTCCTGTTCGGGAAGCTTCCTGATTAGGTAGGTTTACTGTTATCGTTGCTAGTTCCTAGCCGGTGGCACTAAATCAGTGAAGTCTGGAATTTGCCTTCAGGATGATCCCTTCGAATGATAAAAACGCATGCTAGTGAGGTGGAAATTGGCTGAATTCCCCAGGTTCTAGACCCTGCAGGCTTGGCTCGGTTAGAAGCAGGTTGAACTGCATCGGAGATGTGTGGGGGTTGCAATCTCACCCCATACCTGAGAGTACTTGTTAGTGAGAGACAAAACTACCTACCATATCATGTACATATACATTGTCTTCAATGTTAATAAATGGCTGAGGTCTAACCGTCGTCAATTGTGCCTATCAAAGGAATCTCTCTACCGCTGTCGCCACAAAGCTCTAGATCCATGTCCACCCAACAGTTTCCTTAACCAATTGCGTCTTGGTCTCATGTCAGGATATTGACCTTGTTGTACTAGTTCTCCAGAGACTTGAGTTGCTTTGCATCGAGGCCGTTTTCTACTTAAATATCTTTAGGTCTGGCCATCAAGACCAACCCACCATTGCCACATTGTCTCCCCATATCTACATGTACGCTCTTTGGCTACTAGAAGACGATATCTCATGCTTAGACCTAGGCAACTCTGCTTTTCCGATCCTTTCTCGTTATACTCGCCAAGAAATATATCTTCTGTCCCCGCAACCATGACAAATTCCATCGTCGAATCTTCGGAGGCTTACACGAGTCAGCTACGATGGTGCAGACTGAACAAGTAAGGATTGTGCTCCTTAAACCTAAGCTGGACTGCTTCTGATCAATTGGTAGCCCCTCTGTGCAGAACTTTCTTATGGCATGCGTTCTGTTTTGCAACCCAGGACTTTACCTGGCAATCTTGGTACGTACCCCTGCCTCGATATTTTTTTGGTTGTCGGAGCCGCCTGAGCCATCGACATGATAAGGGAAAATCAACTAACATGCACCTTTTTCAAGGGACTTGGGGCCGGAGGTGGTCAGGCGTCATCGCTCTTAATGGCTCAAGTATCTAATGCGTGTCTGTACGCCGTATTTGCGGTGACTGGAATTCTAGGCGGCACAATTTTGACAAAGATTGGCCCTAGATGGACTGTGCTGCTCGCTATTTCCGGATACCCTCTCTATACTGGTTTGTACAATGCCAGGACGAACCTCCTAGGAAGATTCTAATATCCGGTTCCACTAGGTTCTCTTTGGTACTTTGACAAGTCGGGTGGCCAGCTTTGGTTTCCGCTTCTCTCAGGATGCTGGCTTGGTTTCAGTGGTGGCTGTCTTTGGACCACTGCCAGTGAGTGATTTCCATCCCCCACGAGTGACCCAAACATGATGTTCGTTCCGATAAGGATCCGTGTATCTCACACACCCTTTTCAATCAAATAGGCTTCATGGCGAATGTCTACGCATCCGAATCTGTAAGTAAACATCCCATGTCACCTCTGAGGACAGCAATTCTGACAAGTTGGACGTTATAGGAAAAAGGCGCTTTTAGAGCTATTCAGTGGACAGGAAATTCGGTCGGTGCCACCGTCGGGGCTGGTATTGCCTTCGCCATCAATTTCAATGGTAAATACCTATTTACTTGACTTTACACAGTTCTCAACGCTCGTAAAACGCACTACTAATGCTCAGGTAGCCCAAACCCCCTCGACGCCACAAAGCGTCTACATCATATTTATTGTTCTCCAATGCGCATCAGCTAGTTTCGCACTTTTGATGGTCGACCCTAACAAGCTCATCAGACCCGATGGCACGCCTGTAGCTATCTTCCGGCCTACAACACTCAAAGAGAGCATAGTTGCTCTTGGTTCAATGTTCAAGGACTGGAGGCTGATCCTCATGCTGCCTGCCTTCTTCACTCCAGAGGCGTTCATCGTTCTTCAGTCCTCACTCAACGCATACGCGTTCAATCTCCGTACGCGGAGCCTGAACAATGTCTTGTCGTATGCATGTCAGATCCCGGTGGCTTTATTTGTGGGATACGGTCTCCTAGACAATAAGAGACTGGGTTCCAGGCGCAGACGAGGTCTTCTTACCATCGGCTTTGATGCGATTTGGATAACTGGGACATATATCGCTCTCACCCTCTGGCTCCACAGCTGGGGCTTTGACAGGAGCATGCCTGGACCAAACATTGACATAGAAGATGCGGCTTGGCCCGGCGCGGTAGCACTCTACGTTTTGTACGGTTCTCAGTATGGTATTTTCCAAAATACTGTGCTCTGGGTACTGGGGTCGATGAGCAACGAACCAAAGTTGATGGCACACTTGGGCGGTGTCATGGTTTGCTGTAAGTTATAAACCACCCTCGGCAAGTGCTAGAGAGCGAGTAGAAGGGAAGAGAAGAGAATAATAGGAATGTGCTAATAACATCGATCAGTCATATCAGCAGGTACAGCAGTATCTTTCGGCATCGACTCAGCCAGTGTCCCTTACGAAGCTGAAAATGGCCTCTGGTTCGCTCTTAGCACATTGACTTGGCCCATCCTGGCCTTTGTAACTTACAAGTATGTTCGTCCCACAAATTATTTCGTGGAAGAAGGGGTTGGGATTCCAGTGGAGATGCAAAATGGGCAACTGGATTCTCAAAAGGTTGAAGTAGAGAAAGGGTTGAATGTTGTCAATGTTGAAACTGGGGCTGTCTGACGGACGCTCCTTTCCACGGGGTGGCTCAGAGGCTCAAATCAAACCGCAATGCATAGAACTGAGCTTGAACTCCTTTCTTCCGCTCCCGCTATGTCTCGACTGGAATGCCTTACTACGCTCGAAACATAAAAGCTTCCAATAAGCGCATCTGTTCAAAAGGAAAGATTTCTTTGATTACCCCCATCGATTATTTCGGATGTGAGGAATGCGTTCATAGATGTTTCTACTAATTATACATGTTTTTGTGACCAGTCCAGGCGCTTCATCTACCACACGGGAGAGAGTTTGAGTACAAAGTGAAATAATAGAAGATGGCAGACCCGACAGCTCAACACAATGACTACAGTTATGCGGAAGAAAGTTCTATGAGTATTCATACCAACGACTCACTTGCCCTCAAGACGAGCTGGCGTCAAATGACTATATAAGCCATCCTCTTTCACCTGGACTCCTTCGTTCGTCTTCTATCTTTGGCTAAAAGGGCAAGAATTAGTTAGACTCGTGTATTAATATTGGAGTCAACACTCACACGCCAATCCGATTCATCCACCACACACCAAGCGTCAGCCAAGAGTTTATATAAAAGAAAATAAAGCAACAAAATCCAAGTCGAATCCACCCGATAACAAGGTCACCTGGCCAGTGTGCAGCAGGAGGATTGATTTGTATTAGGCAGGGAATTTCAATGGGTAATTTATTTCCGCTACTAACCTCAACGAAAGGACTATTGACTATGAACAGTCTCTTCTTCTATGGATAGTGCTTATTATAGGTAGCTAAGTAATGGGAAATTGAAGTATATAATATACCCAAGCTACCGATCTTAGCGAATGTTATATTCGGCCAGCACGGAACTCTTCCGCCATTTTCTCAAAGGTGCACCATTCAACCTCCTCATATTGATTGATCCAATCAATGAAGCTGCAAAAGTTAGGCTTTTGTATATCAATGCCTACGGGTCGTCCCCTCTCGATAAGGATAAGAGGCTAAGAGTGGAAGACTTACCGCTCATGCATCCTCATAACATGTGGCTTGCCACTAACTTGCGGGTGGATAGTAAGCGGGATAATGAAGGTATCGTAGTGCTCGTAGCAATAGAGGAAAGTCTCCCTCCACGTCTTCTCGACAACTTCTGGGTCTACATAGCCTTGCTATTTCATGATTTAGCATAAGCTATACATTTCAAGAATTGTCAATGAGCCAAACCCACCGCATTTGGGCGCGTTGCTTCGAATTGAAAGGCTGGCCAGTCATCAAATGTCCAGTTACCTAATAAAAGTCAGCAGAGAGAATAAAAAAGCATTCATGATTCATTTGAAGCCAAATATGACTGACCGGGAATCACGACAATATTGGATGGACTCTCGATGGAAGACGGCACCATCCAAGTTGACGCTGGTTTACTATAGTCGGTGACGACATGAACCTCCCCATCCTTCGGGGCCCAGTATGCGTGAAAGTCATTATGCATGTAAGAGTGATCTAATAACCGTCATTTAAGCGTTGGATTCTCTCATATCACCTAGCGCACGTGTGCGTAGCTGTGGTGCGACGGCCCTGGGCGGTAAGAGATCTTCTACTAACCGTAGCTGAAGCCCATCTCTTCCATAATCTTGATTTGCTCCGGATGAGGATCCCATGATGGGGCCGTGAAACCGGCAGGCTTCTTTCCTCCACAGAAATCAGTAAGGACGCGGGCCGATCTTTCCATGACGTCTTTGAATTGCTGAGTGCTGAGCTCTCCAGCATGCCTTTGAATCACGTCACAGGCTATATCAGCTTCGAGAAACCGTGATTGTTTGATGATGGTGAACTTACTCGTGAGTGTAACCATGGCAGCCGCTATGGAATAAGGTGTCAGATACTGCGACGATACATCGTGTCCAATGAGCCCTCGACTCACATTTCATGTCCACCATCTCTGATCCTTGCCATTTCTACAGGAAATGTCTCAATTGTGTGTGCAGGAATGTACCTGAATACCCTACAGTTAGAAGCCCCCTTCGACAGCCTTGCACGGAGGTGTCAATAAGCAGATCAACCTACCATGAGCATTTGATACCTTTCTTTTCGAAGAGATCTAGGAGCCTTTTCGTGCCTACTTTAGCACCAAAAACACCTTTCCCGACGTTTTAATCAGCTTGATGCAGGGGATTCGAAGTGGCCAAGCAGTCTCACCTCGGGATATGTTCGATAAATTTGGTCGAGATCCGTTGGTGAGGTTGATGTGTCCGGAAACAGCATCAACGTCAATCCCATACCCAACCAGAATCCTTTTCTTGCCCATGGTTGAGATCTGATTTTCATGTAACGAATGCCGCACAGGAGATTGGATGAGCCGGTTTCACGGTGCACAATACTGAGAATTCTATGGTCATTATCAGCTAATACTAAGTTATTTAAACTTGGGAGTCGAACCAGGAATTTTGCCGAGGAAAGACAGACTCAGTTTCCTACTTTGGAAAGTCTACGTCTTTACTAGCCCGAAATACCCAACATACATACACCTCTGCTCTTCTCTTAGAACTAAAATCTACGCCAACGGATGGTTTTGGTTAATAATCTCATCCCATCACGTACCGGATCCTGCCCCGCTTCTATCGCGCAAACCATCGCGCCTCCTAATTTTCACAGCTAAGCCATATGTTGAATACTTTCCCAATCAGGCAGTTCAGATTTAAAGAGGATTGCTATTGCCAGAGCACAGCATGCCAACATTCATTGTATATTCCAATGGGGAAATGGTCATTGACCATCGATGTTTTTGGGCTTTCCTGCTCAATAGCATGGATTTCTAACTGTCGTATTAGATTCGAGTCCCTGTATAATAAATGTTTCTTGTTTGATTCGGGATAGGTTCAAATCAAGAATAGCACTACGTCAGAAATCCTTTAGCAACGTAGGATGAATTCTAAATCCAAAGATTTCATAGCCAGCGTAAAGAGCCTTGCCCTGGAAAAGAGCTTCTCATCCAGAACGTCTGAGAAATTATAGTTCATTTTTTATCGAATCATAGAAATGCACTGGAGCTTTTATTAGGTAATGGTGCAGTTTTTGATGCGAAGCTCTGCTCATCGTACAAGAAAAACTTTGTTCTGAGGCTCGTCTCTTTTGAAGCTTTCAGACCTCCTCCAAACCTTTCATGTGTATCGACTTGTGCTAGATTTGTGCTCCAGCTGGACATGTTCACAGTAGGATTCCTGGGCTAATTTGCTAATAGAGTGCTATTAAGCCATTCATCACGACGTGGTTAGATACTACCCAAAGCCCCCTACTCACAATTTGGTAAGAAACTAAAATGCTTACTTTGTACATCGCCGAAATTGCGATACTAACACCCCCATCTGATTTGATTTCGAGTAGATCGATCATACAAAAGGCAAAAACAAGAATCCTCCTGAGGCCTATCCAGGAGCTGTTTCTGAGCCTCGTCATGACAATATGAAGTTAGCCAGTGCATTTAGAGCAACCTCTCGATCTACTTTTCCGGTATTGTCGGAAACTGCCTTGCTATATTCCTCCTCGGTGATCTCAGGTCTAGTCAGTTCCAAAACCCTTTCCATAGCTTTCTTGTCGAATTCTGGATGGGATTGCAGTGTCCAAAGTCGGCCTGGGAGATATAGACCTTGAATGGCCGTCTTTTCGGTCGATCCCATATTTTGAATCTGCCCTAAATTACCCTCCTTGACCTCCCAGCAATGAGATTGATTCAGAGCCTAGTAGTAGAGAATCAGATGTTAGCCAATGGTTCAAAGTTCTTTCATGAGATAACCTAAGACAATTCATTCCGTACAATGCGATCTTGCATAAATATGCTCTTGCCAGTTTCAGATAGCTGGATATCCGTGACAGCGTTTTCATAGCCTTTGTTGTTGACGCCCACAGAGAGCCCGTGAGCTAGCGCTATCACCTGGTGGCCAAAACATATGCCCACCAATTTCTTGTCCCGCTCAGCGCGTACTACCGCTTCCACATAGGCGAGCAGTTTGGTGATCCAGAGCTCCTGGCTTTTGGGATGCGTAGCTAGTGGCAAGTGACAACATTAGTACAGGTGATACAGGTGACCAACACGGTAGTCCTTGTGCGGAATGACAGAAAAAGAGAGAAATGGTGAATGGCTTACGTGCCCCAGTGATCAAAATGACATCGCATTCGTCCGATTTAGGGTACTCCATCTTGTTCTTAGTATCCCAGACTCGGATCTCGGATTCCTCTTGCAAGCGGGTGTTTGATTTGAGCCATGTTGAGATGAGCCCTCCATATCCGCCGTACTTGGACTTGTCAGGGTCAAGCGTATCATCGCATTCAAAAATGCCAATTTTTGTTTTGTAGGCCATGATGGAGTGAAATAGGGGTGTCCCTGAAAAGAGCGAAAACCAGCGTTTGTTCACAATGTTGTTAGATTTCATTCATCATCTCCCACCAACATGTAGATATACTATTGGACCGAGGCTCATATGAGCCAGAGCTAGAACAGAATCAGTCCAAAACCTACCTAATTGGGAAGCTCGGTTGGTGCGGTTCAAACACTTGAGGGTGGATGAGACCTACAAAATTGCAGACCCCACTCGTTCTCCAAGCGACCACATCTTTGGGGTTCAGAAGGACACGTAGACAGCACTGTTCAACCTAGCAGGCCGTCTAAGAGCAATCCGCACGGGCATGGTGTGGTGGCGATGTTTCTTTAAGTACAGGTGGTAGACAAACTACTGCGCAGAGTTTCCAGGCATCTGAAAATTCTAGAGCATAAAAACTATCTATGCATCCGCTCAGCTACCCGACTCTGAGCCGTTGCCACTGAAAGTGAAACACAATACTCTTAGGTTTCTCCAAGTAGAGTTCCTTCTGATATAACTTTTGCTAAGAGCCGGTCTCGAGACAGCTTTTCTTTCAATTCCCGTGGCTTCGTGAAATGCACACCAAAACCGACCACAGCCCTAGCTTTCTAATCACCTAAGGGTAGTAACGATAGTTCTTGTTTTTCCAATCTGTGATATCCGGTTTCGCTCTAGCCCCATTAACGGCGGGCGCATCCTCAGTAGCGACAGGCGCACCGTATTTGTTGTCACGGGCCACATTCCTCCAGTGGAAGAACGCTGCCAATCCCAGCATGTCCGCTGTTGAGAGACATAAGCAGACGAGAAGCGTTACAAAAGCCGTCGTGTAAGAAGGAGCTTCAGTCTCGAGGAATAACTGAGGACCAGCAATGTTTCCTGCACAGTACCCTACGAAGATGAGAGCAGTGACTGTGCCTCGCTTGGTGAAACCTCCGACGTTGCTGCTGACAAGGCTTAGTGTAATGGGGAACCCTCCTGCAAAGACCACTAATAGGTAGAGTCCAATCAGGTGTCCCACGCGGTTGGTCGATGGTAGCTGGCGTATCAGGATGACTCCAACAAGGCTGATGGCATTGAGTATGGCCACGGTTATAGACCGCGAATTTTTGATCTTTGTAACTGCATAAGCGGCACCAAAAACGGAAATGAGCTGGAACGCTGCCATGGGCATGTTGAGAAGTAGTGTAGTCACTGTGGTGAAGCCCAGCCCCTGGATGATAATGGAGCCAAAGTTGGTTATGCATCCATTAGGCAAGGATCCGAGGAAGGCGTAGAGAAAGAGAAGCCATGTTTTAAGATCCGCTAGGGCTTCCCACACCTGGGACCACTCGTATTTACCTGTCTGCGATGTCGCTTGAGCCCTCTGAGCCCTACTAACAGCAAAGGCTCGTTCTTCATCGGTAAGGAACTTGGCAGTCGAGGGATCACTAGGAAGGAAGAAAAGAATAACAAAGCTCCAAGCAAGCGTTATCACTCCAAATATGATGAATATGAGCTACAGTTATAGGTCGAGGGGTCAGCAAGCTTGCAAGATAAAGAGAATCCGATAAAAAACGAGAAGAATCGTTGCAAAGGTGATCGAACATACCCTCCAAGGTGCGATCCCGCTTCGTGCATGCCCGATACCATATGCAAGCAGACTCCCAAATAGGGTCGCAATGCCATTTCCGGAGAACCAGATTGCGTGGCGGGACGCGTGCTCCTCTGGTGCATACCACATGCCCGTCAATAAACTGAAGCCCGGACTGATGGCGCTCTCAGAGACACCTAGAAGAAAACGCAGTGCCATCAAGCTAGCAAAGTTGCTGGCTGCAGCATGGCAACAGAGCACAATGGCCCATATAACCCTAGCTGGCTCGTCAGCACGTTGTAACTTGTTGCCATTTGCGGGTGAGCGACTACTGATGAACGTACATTGTCACACCAAGAAATCGAGCGATTGGGAATTTGGCGAAGCCAAATGACATGGGATAGCTGGCAGCCATGTAGCCAAAATAGAACATGCTGGAAGCCCAAGCATAGTCTTGACCAGAAAGGTTCTGTTCACACCATTAGACCATCACGTTATTCTCTTTTTCTGGGTCATAGACGGGCGATCCAAAAGTTGCGTTCTCACTTACAGTATCCTGTCTGATACCGGTAACGGCGGCGTATCCCAGCGTTGTTTTGTCGAGGTACTGCAACATATAGGAACATATCATGGCGGGCATAAGACTGCAAGTCATGTTGCGTAAGCATAATGACAAGTTCAATTCAACGACTTCGTAATTCAATAACTGTACCGGAGATCAATCTTTCGCACAAGGCGGCTACGATCGACCTGAACCAGTTTGCTGCCTAGCTCACAGGTCTCAAAGTTCAACGTCACGCCATCCGCACTCGGCACCTTCTTGATGCTATCATGCTCATTGGAGGCCATTTTAACAAGCAGTAAGTTGTACAGTATAGATGAAAATGCTGGCTGCCGCACTGGTGCAGGGCTTTCTAATGCTCAAAAGGTGCCGCGCAATTAATGCAGAAAATTATCATTCAAGGTTTCTGCGTTTAAGGGTCGGGCTACAACGCACATATGCTCTTATTTAAGGCCGACGGTCTCGACGTCTTGCGAGAAGCCACAACTCCAATCAGTACTAGTTCGTTCGGCCATGATAAGCAACTTTGGGGTTATGGCGGTTGGGGAAGTCAAAGATGCCATCCCTAGTCCAGAAGATCGGGTCCAAGCCAGGCCATAGGTTGACCTTCCCTATAAGGCAGGTTTTGAAAGATTGGTAAAGCGCAGCTTCGGAATATAATCATGGCTTTCCTTTAACAAAGGGGATGCAACCACAAGATAATGATTGAATTTCCCTCGCTTAGTCCGCCCCAGACTGATCTAGCCAAGCCCCGTATTCCGAAATGGATGATGTCAGAGCTTTGATCAGCGCTGAGGTAGACTCCAAGGATGGTGATATTGCGCGCCTTAACCAGGCCATCTACTCCAACCCCGAGCTTGCCTTTGCCGAATTTTACGTCCACCAGACCTTTTTTGAGCTTCTCCAATCCCTTGGTTTCTCCGTCACACCCCATGCCTACGGGGTTGAGACTGCATTCTCGGCTGAGGTAGGCTCCGGTGGTCGTCTAGTTGTGTTCAACGCCGAGTATGATGCGCTTCCAGATGTTGGCCATGCCTGCGGACACAACTTGATTGCTTCGGCATCGCTCGCGTCTTTTCTCGGTGCTGCCGCAGTCTTGAGATCAACTGGAATCCCGGGACGCGTTCGTCTACTCGGTACCCCGGCCGAGGAGGACGGTGGAGGGAAACTCAAGCTGATCGAGAACGGGGCATATTGGGGATGCTCAGCGGCGATTATGGCGCACCCAGTCGCAGGAGGCAAGCTACAAACCCCAGTCCGAGGAGTCGCTTTTCTTCGTACGCTATGCAATGCCCGGCTGCTTGTGACATATGAAGGGCGCGAGGCGCATGCAGCCATTGCCCCTTGGGCTGGAGTCAATGCCCTTGACGCAATTTGCCTGTCATACAATGCCATCAGCATGCTACGGCAACACATCCTGCCTACGGAGCGAATCCACGGTGTCTTCCATAAGTCCGGCACACGTCCCAACGTAGTGCCTGGCGAAACAGCCGTCGAATACTTCGTGCGCAGTAACACCAAAACCAGCGCGCTTGCCTTAGCAAACAGGGTAGTGAACTGCTTTCGAGGTGCTGCCACGGCCACCGGCTGCAAGGTTCATGTGGCCGACATTGCGTGCTACGCTGATCTGCGGCCTAGTCCAAAGCTTTGTAGAGCCTATATGGACGCAATGCCCGAGGGTATAATAGCCTACGATGAGCCGGCTGATATCCTGGCTGGAAGCACAGATATGGGCAATGTCTCATACGAGACGCCCTCATTCCACGCTGGTTTTGCAGTGGACACCGAGCCTGGCGTCAACCTACACACTCGCGGGTTTACCGTCGCAGCTGGGACTCGTGGGGCACTTGATAGAGCCATTGAATGTGGCAAGGGTATGGCGCTAATTGGATGGAGAGTGCTCTCAGACGATGATTTTGCGCATGACGTATATGAAGATTGGGAAAGGGATATAAAAAGCGTGACTGGCATGGCTGTGTGAATAGAGCCTTTACATCAAATCATTGAACAACCTGAAAACAAAAATAAAATACAATAAACAAACTACCAGATATCTCAGTTGCGCTAATGTTGTTCCGGATCTCCAAGTCCGCTCGCGACTATTCCTATGAACCTGAACTGAATTTGTTTTGATTTCATTCTTAGGACCTGACATGTAACAACCAGAACGTCTCTATAATTCCTTTGGTTCGAACTGAGGACGAGTTTTTCTTCATCAGGATGTTAGTAATATCCACTCTCCATATGAATTCGCCACCAGAGGACAAATGAGATGTCTGTATCATAGAACTCTGTTGGGCCTCGTCTTAACTTAGGGTGATACCACCATCAACCAGAACGATGGATCCTTGCATAAAACTATTGAGAGGAGACGCTAGCAGAACGATGGAATCTGCAACCTCCTCGACTTCGGCTACACGACCCAAGGCACTATCATCCACGACCTTCTTCAGCGGCGTGGCATCCCCCTGAGCTAAGACGCTGTCGAGTAACGCGGATTTGACGAACCTTGTGCCGTCCGTTAGCTTATGTGATAAACAGTACATTGTTATTTACTTACCCAGGACAGATCGCATTGACACGAATGTTTTGCGGGCCGTAGGCAACGGCGTCGGCTTTTGTGAGACCGACAACACCTGAATATTTTGTCAGAACTGGAAGGTTCTCCAACCCAAATGGCGATCCTCCTCGCCAGCGAGTATGGGGCCATACCGTGCTTTGCTGCGGTGTAAGCAGTGTGCGGCAGTCCCTTTTGGGGCGCGCACACACCCCAAGTAGAAGCGAGGTTCAAGATGCTTCCGCGACCTCTACGCAATCCCAGGTCCTCTTGTGCTGCCATGATGCGTAGTTCCTCCTTCTGGCATCTCCAAACCCCGTTGAGGTTGATATTAACGAGGTTCAGCCAGTCCGTTTCCTCGACCTGGTCCGTCATGTCAATGGGACCGCGGATGCCGGCATTGTTGATAGCAATGTCAAGCCTTCCGAACTTATCTACGATAGTCCTGAAAGCAGTCTTGATCTCCTGCGTGCTGCGGACATCGACCTGAATTCCAAGAACCTCAATATCGGGGTACTTGACACGTAAGTCCTTGACGGAGGCCTGCAACACGTCGTTGTTGGCGGCGTCAGTCAGCGCGAGCTTCTTGGCACCAAATCTAGCAAAGGAGTGCGCGGCAGCCAGCCCGATACCTGTTAAAGACTGCATTAGCAGCTATTCGTGCCTCCCTCAGGGACTTTAATACCTTGAGCCGCCCCGGTAATTAGCACAGATTCCCCAGTAAGAACAGACATGGTATGGAGTGTTAAGAATGACGAGGACATGCGTATGCGGCGGCTCTAAGTATGTCTAGAAGTGTGGTGTATAGTCCTATTGCTGGGGTAGATTGTTTCTTTATACCCCCTCAAGATCTAGCTATTTTGGGGCCTACGCGAGGACATCATACACGGCACGTTGGCCGACCTTCTACATATGGAAACTTTGACAGGACCCAGAAGGCAGTCTAGGATGAAGCTAAAGGTGCTTATACCTGTGGGACCAAAGTTAGAGCCTACCTTGCCATTGTATGTACTTTCCCACCTGACTCATACGCTGCTCGTGAATGGAAAGCGCTTGGCGTCGTCGATATCCATCAAATTGAGCACTTCCCGGCTCCGGAATACGGCCGCCTCGAACAATGAGATTATGGATTTTTAGGATACACAAATTCAGATGAAGTGGACGCAATCGACTCCGCAATCTTCAATCCTTGACTCGAAGTAACTCAACCCCGCTCCACCCAACTTCTTCTTACTGTTCCACAACGACTCACCAAAAGGACCAGACCCAGCCAACCTCCTTTGAAATGTCTCTCCAGTCAAGGGGCTCCTCGCCCCTCAGTTCCGACCTGCGCCGATGGTCCCAAACCAGCCTTAGCAGCTCTGCGCAATTCTCAAACAGCACAAGTCTGTTCACGTCCGGCGGAAAGTCCTCGAGAATTTCGAGGGTCCGCTGCTTCAACTCTGGCCGTTCGAAAATATCCAGCTCTAGGCTGGCAATCATGAGAGGCCATATTACGTTGACACTCGTCATGCGATAGTCAAACTCCTTGAGGTGGTGGAGGGTCCGGACAATGTACTGCTGCACCGTAGCATGGCGGTACGGGAGCCTCCGCACCCTTCGCGAATAGTGCACAAGGGCTGCGTTGCGGTACGCTTCTGAAATGCTCATTAGGGTCTCGCTGCTATCCCCGGGCGGCGTCCAACGAACCAAGAGGTCCTCCCAGGCATTGAAGCGACAATTGCTGTCGTTGTCAGCCCGCGTCCCCTCCACACTGCCGCCACCGCATGGCGCCGATGCCATGTATCGCTCAATCTCGCAGAGCACGAACAAGACGATGGTCGGACATCCGAGGATTTTCTGGAAGAACTGATCCTGGCTGCATAACCTGTGGACAGTCATCTCCCCATCACGTCGAACATGGTAATACACGCTCAAGTCACCGAGGAAGGCACGCCAGTAGGCGCTGGAGATGGTGATGGGGCGCCAAGATGTCACGGCTGCCATTGTCTCCATAGCGACGGCGCACTTGGTGAAGACTTGCCAGTCGCTGGCTTCCACCATGTCCGCCTCCAGTCTGTCTCGGCCCTGGAGCATCATGATGATGCCCTGCAGCCACAGGGCCCAGTCCCCGATACCAGAGTCGACGATTTCGATGGATTGGATGAAAAGGCAGGCAAGCAGATTGGGAAGGCTGGCGCAGTCTCCGGCGGCGAGACTTTCCCGGAACAGCACGAGGACCTTTTGCTTATGCCACAGAGCCTTCACGGAGTCTTCTGCCCTGCTGCTGGGTGATCGCGAAGCCCAGTATCCTGTCAGGGCGAATAACGCATGTTGAAGGATGGGGAATTGCATCGAGGCTGGTATGACACTGGATATAAAGGGATTATCAACCGTCAGCCATAGTGGCGTGAAGCGTGGCAAAGCCGACTGAATATCTGAGAAACGGGCTTGTTAGCGAGTAGACCTGCGGATGAGGAAGCACAACTAGCAAGCCTACATAGCTGATAGTATCTCGCCGCATCAGTTGAAGTGACGCGATTACTTGTGGGACTGATTATTAAAGGAGACGAGCAGGGTATCTGCATCGCTGGACTGTGGTGACTGGCATCTTGCCGGTGTATTGATGACTGAACAAACGATACTGGAGTTTGATGTTCTTGAGAATCCGTGCTTGCCGCAGGTGTGCTTTGGCGCGATCTGAGAGAGGTAGGAAAATAAAGATGGTCGTTCGATGATGAGCTGTGCTGGTCGAATGTATCTTCGGTGGGGGCGGCAGAGGTAGGGGATGGTAATTCAAGCAGCGTGACTGTGTCGCAAGGTGGAGAATCCGTTATCTCGGGTACTGGAATCAAAGGCAGCGGCCAACAAGCATCAAGCCCAGGTAGCATGGAGTAGTTGTTTGATTCAGCATCTCGCGATTCTTGCGACTGGCTGGGTAAGTCAACCTGGGCCGCCAAGGCGTCTACCGGGGAACACGACGGGAAGGGATTGTCTTGCGTTACAGATGCTGCAAGTCCACGTGGCGTGTTGTCTCTCGCTGTCTCACTATGTGACGATTCCAACGCGGCCTCAAAGTCATCAACCTGCAGATGCTGACGTCGGCGGACTTTGGGTGGGGCGCGTACCTTTTCTCCCACCTGGAACCGAACGCGATACTTTTTCCGCGTTGTCGGCTTGGCAACTGTCGTAGAGTAATTTCGTCAGCGTGAGTAATGCTTTGACGTTTCTTTCGCCTGTCGTTATACCTTCTGGAGGCTGGAATATACCCCGGACGTTCTTCAGCCTGCCACTGCGTGCCATGGTGCGGGACCAGCGGACCGACTGGGACGGGCTGTTGTCGGGATCGTCATTGAGTGCAGACCAAGTTGCTGCCTGCATTGATGCAGGCTATCGCTATGTTGTATGTTGAGCTCAAGGCCTATGGAGAGTGCAGTCCTCCGCGATATTCTCTGTGTTATCGCCCGATGCGATCATCAAGAGGAAAGGATTTGACCCTGAACTAGATGCACGTGCTACTCCGTAGACTTTGGAATGTTATCTTATCGCTCCCCCGCAATTCCACCGAATGTGGATAGCGGGGAGATAGATACAACAGGCATATGGTGCGGAGGACGTTGACTGATGTAAGGAGAAACATATCCAACTGCTCTGCTATCTAGGGACTCAGCCATTGGCGAGTCTTCACTACCAGATTACAGGCTATGAGAAATCCGAGCCTTGGGCCTTAATGCCCAAGGTGGCAACACCAATGTTCTATCTATCTACCTACATATGTAGGGAGATATATCCTCTTCTACACATACAGAAGACTGGCGAAACTCAAATGCAGCATGTCTCATTACAGATACGGGCCTCTACTTGATGTTTCTCAATCAACGCACAATTACATACACAAGATTAGAAGAAAGCACACAGAGCAAACAGTGTAAATGATAACATTCCCCGCTAGATTTCTCACGGCGCTAGTCTCGAGAAAGGCCTATCAAATGTGGGTAAGCTCAGACGGGCCTAGATCGCTTTGATCAAGTGTCACTAGTCCATACTTGGAAGCTTCCTATTTAAGCAAGTTTTCAAGGCTGTCCTCCCAGTAGTTTAACATCAAATGATATAGGTGAATACCTACCTTACCTACCCTGACTTGAGGCAAAAGTGGAACTAGCAAGAGTGAAGGGCTTCGATTCGGTTGGACCCTAGATTTGCATCTTGTGGCAAGTAAGTTCTTCAGGGGTTCGGATTGCTGTGCACTCGCAAATTGACATCACCAGACCATCGACCTAGGATCCATTCTCAACGCGGCCAACCGAGGTGATTTGCAGATCATTGTGCGAGCAATGCGCTTGACATAGGTTGTATTGGCCGTCCCAAGTTCACTATCCATCTTAGAACGTTCAATTATCTTAACTCAATGCACCCAGTTACTAGTTGAACTCCTGTTCTCGGACTGTCATTTCCGACTTTGTTCATTGAACATCAGTCGTGACCACCGGCATCTTGAAACGATACCGCCCGTTGAGCAAATAGAAAATGAGCCCAAAAATCACCCAGCCAATCATGATAAAACTAGAGTAATTCATATTCATCCCCGTCACCGGAATCTGCGTGGGGAATGTGCTGAAGAAAATTGCCACGGATGACCAAACGAGAGCAATGATATTACAGCTAACGCCCAACCATCGCGGGAGTTTGAAAGGTCCATAATCGCAAGGCCTAAGCCTATTGCGCCCATAGAATAGCATGGCCATAATAGGAAGCATGTAAGAGAGATACATTCCAAAGATGGCCATGGACAGGACAGCATTAAAGGCAGTGGTGTTTCCAGCGTAGATCGTGCCTAGGACCATATTGAGGATGAAAATAAGAACGACGGCCCGTACAGGGACTTTCTGCTTCCTGCCAACCTTGGCGAAGTAGTTTGAGAATGGGACAGCATCGTCTCGCGCAAACGCCCAGAAGGTTCGAGACGTGGAGGTCAGACCAGCCATGGCCGCCGCAACAGCAATGATCACGATGAACAACGCAAGCACTGTGGTCAATGCAGTAGATTTGGTGGCATCGAGGAATATCATCATAAAGGGGAACCCGGTAGGGGTCTGCAGAATATCCTCAAGTGAGCCGGTAGAGAACGCGAGCATGAGCACGAACCCGAGGCCCATGACAACGTTCATGACAACACTCCCCGTCATGGCCAGAGGGACATTGCGGGATGCGTTGGGTAGCTCCTCGGCAAGATGACATGCTGCATCGTAACCTAGAAAAGGGAACACGGTGCTGGTAAGGCCGATGAGCCACGCGATCCCGTCACTCTGCCACCCAGTGACGTTGCTGAAATCCGTGAATACGGATGCCGCTGTATTTTTCTCAGATTTAACCCCCAAGGTCACCAAGATGACAAGAAAACCCACAATGTGCAGAACGCCTATGTATCGTGACCGGCGTTAGCTTCTTCGGGGCGAAATGCTTGTGATATTGGAGGGAAGACCAACCTGCGACGAGATTGGCACTGCTTAAGCTGCGATAGCCGAGTGTATTCATCAGCAGGGCGTAAACTAGCACCGCCCAGTAAAGAAAGAGGCCGTGCCACCTTTGGGGAGCGTATTTGGCGTCATTGAGGATGATGAGTCCTTGAATCATCAAGCCCCCTGCAAATGCTGCCGAAGCTGTGAAGACAATCTGTCCACCGATAGAAATCCATCCTGTCAGCCAGGACATTATCTTTTTGCCACGTCCCGGGAAAAGGGCGGTGACCCAATGATACTGGCCTATCACCCACAGGTGTTAGCAGAAAACGCAGTTCCCAATCCGCGAGGCGTGACGATAACACACCTCCAGCAGTTGGGTATATTGATGCAATCTCGGCAAGCGAGGCGGTAGTTGCAACGGTGCAAATAAAGGTGGCGATGCTTTCACGCATCATCATGTTAGAGGCGTCGTTACTTCGCTTGTCTCGGCCCAAATACTCACTAATTGTAAACGAGGCACGGGACGCCACCACTAGCCAAGGCTTGCGCAACAACTGAGGCGACAGCTTCCCATGTTGCCATGATGCAGAGAGAGAGGCATAGCAGCGCAGTGAGGGAAAACGTGGGCTCAAGCTCGGCATGGAGTCCAAGCTGTTCTAGTCGCGTGGCGTCGGAATTCATGCCACACTTCTCTGAGGAAACCCTTTTAGAGACGCCGGCGTCCTTGGTATCCTTTTGCGTTGAGATCATTATGGATGGAGAAACTAAATATCTGTGATGATAGAGATCGTCCAAAAGCAAGTTGATAGAAGGGCAGGGCAAACCTAATTTATAGCCGAGCTTTCCTTGTCAGATGCAGGGTTTGAAGGCTCCGAAGTCATGGGGTATGTTTGATTTGTAGGCTAGTTGGTAGGTGAGACCGGCAACGCGGTTCCGACTGATGGTATCACAGCAAGCCACAGTCTGGTTACCTACAGGTACCTAAAGCATGGATGTGAGGGGGGTGGCCAATGATAGGAGATCTGGGTCCTCCGAAGGAGCTTCCCAGCTTGTCTCTCGGAAGAAGGTTTAAAGTATCATACTTCTAAAAATCCGGGCGTTGCTGAGTCTTGCCGAAGCCATGTGGTTGAAGATGCCTACTCTTTGTATGGTAGGCTACGGGTAATGGCTACTTTCCTTTGAAACTTGGCCTTTCATTAGACATAGGAATTTCTATGCTGCAAATGTGAATTGCAGTATGCTGTTTCTGATAATTTTTGGTACTTTGCTTTGAGAATGACGGTAGCCACAGACACGGGTAGTCATCAGTTAGGTTCTACGACCATTTGCTTAATGCAAAGGTGAGGTGAGTTGTTGATTTCTACTAATATATTCTACTCAACGCCAAAATATAGGCAAGTAAAAATGCAATTGCTACTGGATGTAGAAATTAATAATGCACTCTTGCGTAAAAGCAAGTAGATGTCCTGTAAGCAGAGACCGAAACGTTATTACAAAGAATGAAGTTAGGCGTTTGACAAAAATTTATAGGAAACTGTCAAATCCCTGGGTTGGCTTACAACCCATTCAATACCCTGTATAGTATTCTTCATAAAGATACCAAATGTCTCTGGGAGCGTAGGCACATTGAAGAAGACGTGCGGCATATTGTGATAATGATCCCGCTTAACAGGAACGCCAGCCAGTTTCAGGTATTCTTCCAACACAACGCCATCGTCTCGTAGTGGATCAAACTCGCATGTTGCGATATAAGTGGGCGGGAAGAGTTTGTGACTTTCACGATCCAGCAATGTGAAGTAATCCAGATCCGTAGGATGAAGACCGGCTGCGTTACTGAAAGTTATCAATGCGGCTTTGTCCACCAGTGGAATATCCGTTGCATTTTCTTCCAACGAGCGGTGCTCTGGTGGTCGAAAGACTGCCTCCGGATGTGTAGTGACGGGGCACAGAGCGATAACTCCCTTCACTGCATGCGTTGGCAACCCGGTTCGAGATAGCCTGATCTGGCGTGCTGCTGCGAGGGCCAGCATACCACCAGACGAGGAGCCAAAGGTAAATAGTTTGGTGGCATCGGCACCTAGCCGAGCGGCATTGTCGAATGCCTTTTCGCCGTCACCTCGCATGGTTAGTTCTTTTCAGTAAGGCAAGGTGCGGCTCGCAAGAGAAATTACCCATTTGAATGCTTCAATAGCATCATGAAGGTGGACAGGAGACTTATGTTCCGGTGACAGGCGATAACACACGCTGACAATGATGGAACCAGTGGTATGAGCGAGAGTGCCGCACACGACATCATCACCCTTCGAAGGCCCAATGACGAGCCCCCCACCATGATAATATACTCCCAAGGGGACAGGCTGTCCGGAAGGAGGGGGCATAAATATTCGCAGCTTGATCTGGGAGACCTTGTCGTCAACAACTACGACATTTTCGGGAATAGCTGGCCACGACTGCTGGAGAGCATCACCAAGTGCTCTATACTGAGCCCTCATCTCTTCCGGTGTCCCTGACAGCACCGGTCGTACACCTCCTAAGCTCTTCTCAAACTATATCCACCACTGTCAGGCTTTGCCACACAAAGGTACTAGGTAGTTAGGTGTGCACTTACCTCGAGCCACGTATCAGAGTATTTTCTAGCCATGATTGGCATTTAAAGACCTCTGGTTCTGCCGTCGAATAGTTCAATCAACAGGTAAGCATAAAAAAGCTTGAAGCTTGCGTTTGTGGAGCAGGCTCGGGGCGATCACTGGCGGCCCAAAACTGGCCGATAACTTGGGGGCGAGATTGATACCCCTAACAGAATTCAAGTAAGGGAGAGCGAGGGCTTTACTTCGCGTGGTATCATCCACTTCACCAGTGACAACAATCTGTGACTGTTTGCTGTTTCGGACCGAATTTGTCAGCTTCCGATGGCAGTTGAAGAGTACCCGATGGATCATGTACTATTCAAGCCTTCTCATATCCGATGCAGCACTTATCTCGCTTAAGTGCCACTTCAACGCCCCCTGTGCATCGGGTAAATACCATTTACGTGTGGGTGGAGCTTCTTGCCGGGTCCTCGCGGGAATTTGGTGGCTATTACGGCGGTGTATAGAGGAAATTACTAACAGGTGATTATTATATTAACCCTAATAATATAATATATCTATATTAGCTAATATAAATACTTAAAAATCCCTTTTATAGTAATTATTATAGTATAGGATTTCCTAATAATTTAATTATTTATTATTTTTAATATAGGTTTAATTTATAGTTTAAAAAGTATTTAAATTAAAAGCTAAAAAATATAAAATTAGTAATTAAATAAGGAGCTAATAGATATTTAATTTATAATTACCTAAGAGATTAAAAAGTATAGATTTTAAGAAATAATTTTAAAAAAAAGAATATACTTTAATTAGAGATTATAATATTATCTTTAAAGTATTTAATTTATAGAAGAAGCTATAGATATTATCTATATACTTACTATCTTTAATTATTATAAAGTTTTATTAATTACCTTCTAGTTCTATAAATCTAAGAAAGTAGCTAATTCTTAATAATAATTATTATATTAACTTATAATTACTTTCTAGAGATTACTTTATATTATTATAATTAAGAGCTTTTATAAAGAGCTTTCTAAATCTTATAAGAAGTATTAGAACTCTTATAGTTTTATAATTATAAAGTCTATTTAAAAACTAAGTTAGATTTACTTATATTATTCTCTAAGATAAATAAAGATACTTCTATAGATTTAATTTAAATTTTATTAGGTTTTAAAATATTATTTTCTATTCTTTTAGAACTATTATTCCTAATAACTTTAATATAGGATTAAATTATAATAACTTATTAGAATATATTTATATTAATTATAGGTTATTAATCTATAGCTTTAGTTTTTATTAATTATTTAATAGCTATTTTCTAAATATAAAGTTTTTCTTATACTTATTTCTTTTTAAAAGAAACTATTTCTTAAATTATATAAATATTAACTTAAAGAATAAATCTATTTTTAAAGAATTTCTAAGAGAAATAATACTTCTATAGGTTCTTCTTTATTAAAATAAACTAATTATATTTTTTAATTAGATTTATTTAAATAGTATAAAATATACTAATAT